CTCCCCCCCCACTATTGGAACCCAGGAGGGATTCCTCTCCGCCATCGAGACTGTACAGTCTCAACGACTGGGAGGAATCCCTCCTGGCCGTCGGGATTGTACAGTCTCGACGGCTGGGAGGTTTCCTCCCAACCATCAACTGTGGGCCAGGAGGTTTCTCCCCCTCCTGGCTGGATGTACATTTCCTATGGCCATGGAGAGTGTAGTCTCCATGGCCATAGGAGGGCTGATGTAAGCAAAACACTCCAGAGTGTCTTGCTTACATCAGCCAACCCGCCAGGCCAGAACCGACCTATGTCGGTTCTTGGCTGGCGTGCAAGCCCACACGCCCCTCCTGGAGGGGCGGGTTCTTGTGCACGCCCCTCGGAAGCGTGTTTTATTGAAAAAACACGCTTCCGAGGGGTGTGCTATCAAACCCGCCCCTCCAGGAGGGGCGGGTGGGATTGCATGCCCCTTTTGGAGGGGTGTGGGCGTGGGCGTGCGGGGAGGGGGGAGGAGTGCGATTATCATCGCCCCTCAGAAACCTTTGATTGGTACACAATAGAGATGGCACTTTGGCCAACAATGTAACCAATCCAATCCCTGGATTGGTATTTATTGAAATGAGTCCCAATACTGGGTATTGGGATTGGATCAATCTCCAATCCAATCCCAATTTATTGGAGAACTGGAATTGTGTAGAGCAACCCAATCCCAATACCTGGTGTTGGGGCTCATTTCAATCCAACCTGGGGATTGGATTGATTACACTGTTGATGATACAAAAGCATGAGACACGTGGCCCACATCTTTTGGGTATTGTATTGGGATTGTGATGTGATCCTGATCCCAACAAACACTCTTTCAATCTGATACCCCGGTATTGGATTAATATCGCTAGGGCAATCCAATCCCCTATTTTTGATACCTGGTATCAAAAAATTGATCTGATCCAATACATCGGCCAATACCCTATTGGATTGGTTTGGTTTCAGCATTGCTCGGCACCTTTTGGGGGGGGGTACGTTAATACCTGCCCCACTTCAGAACATTTCCTGCACACCACCAGCCACCAGTCATGCAGGTATAGGATGCAGTAATGATAAAGGTTCAGCAATAGAGATTCCACTTGCATGGATGGGGGCTGGCAGTGTGGAGGGTGTGCTCTAAAGTGTAGAAATGGCCTTGCGGTAGCGGGCACCTGCTGGCAGGTACCCCTCTATCCCTAATGGAAACCACCAAGTGGTGTCCATTTTGAAAAAAAAAAAAAAAACCATGCAGTACCTGGGTCTCACCAGGCCATCTTTACTGAAGTGTTGCAGGTACCTCCAACAGGTGCCAAAGTGCCATCCCTAGTACATAACTTATCTGATTCTGTTAGACACCAGTGCATAAAAAAATTGGCAACAGCAAGTCTCCTCCTGTCTCAATGTTGGAAGATAAAGTTATTGTAGCTACACATTGACCACATGGAGACCTCACATCCTGTATGGTTTTGAACGTTTTTGTTTCTTTAAAAGAAAACACAAATCTGATTATATGAAATTGCTAGTAGACATAAAAGACATATTTTCCCCTTTCCAGATGAAAAGAGTGATTATCTAATTCCTAGCCTTTTTCTCATGATATAGCATTTTGTTTCATTTTTCTGTCTTTTAAAGGCTTGAAAGTACCGGCAAGAAAAAAGTAGAGAAGGGGGCCAAGCGATAGGTATAAGAAGCCTGATTGTGGCATGGCATGGGAATTTAAAATGCTGGCTCTGGTATTACGTCCTGCCAGTCTGTGGTTATGTTGAAGGTGTCCGTTTCTGATCCCGGATGTTGATGATGGAAAAAATGGAACTTCTGATTGGTCTTGTGGTGCGGCCTACTAGCGCTCCTGTGAGAGCAAGGGAATAAGACGATCAATGAATGGCTTCGTTAGATGAACACTATCAAGGAGGGCGGAGGGAAGGGTCATGTAAAAACAAAACCAACTTGTTTCTTGCACTGCTTTGGCCTCAGGTTCCTGTAGCTTGTGCGAACCAGACCGGCAATCTTCCATATCATTTCCTTCCTCTCCCTCCAACGTCTACGGGTGTTCGAAATCCCATTCTTCGCCCGAAGGGATATTGAGTGGGATGCTTTCGCATGGCCGGACTCCAGCTCCGCAGTCATATCTAGTCGTCTCCTTCCCCGGAACCTCGTCAGAGAGCACGCTTTTTTGGAATTTATATTACGAGCTATCAATGATGAAGTTTTATGAAAACCCAAATTTCTATGGTCTGAATTGATGGTTCATAATCGTGCCTGGATTTGACCAAGGAATCAGGTCGATGATTTAAACACATTCCACTCCTCTTGATCACTCGATCACCTAATCCATTTGTGCATGTCAATGTGCCCGAGCTCGACTTTCGGAAGAATTTCAGATGAAGAGGAAAATTGTGAGTTACGATCAATTTGTTTAATAGACATATCTGGCCGCCCAGTCAGACCATAACTGCTTGGTGAAGGCTTTCCTTCAGTTGAACGGGATAGCGATATCCGTTTTCACATCTGTGATTCCGATTTTCGAACGCCAAGATAAACGGGTACCAGGTATTCCTGCCGAGAGAAGATCCGACAGTTTGCTCTTACATGCTAATCCTGAATATGCTCGCCATATAAGTTAATTTAGCGTCCACCTCGACCCTTCCTATACACAGGGAACTCGTGTCAGGAGTGCGCTGTAGCGCCCGGCCCTCCCTAGGATAGCTGTCTAATCTTTCGATTTCTCCAGCTATACGAAGGTAGATGTAACCGAGTAATCAAATCCCTTTTGTGTTATCTGATTTATAAATTATACTGAGAATTATGGGGGTCGTATTTTGGGGACACGGGAAGATACTATAATCGAGAAAGCATGAAGGAGAAGAACGATAGTTCCGGAAACAAAATCCAACCATATCTATCCTGAAGCTCAGGTATATTTTGTTTTTTTGAAGGGGGGTTGGGAGGTCTATTAAAAAGAAAGGCGGTTCCCTGCAAATGCGCCAAAACGTGTTGAAAAGCTAGGATTTGATGTCATAGAACGACGGAATGAGGAGCCGGAGGATTGAGCCTCTGCGGAACGGCGAGTCAGAGCAGAAGCCCCAGTCTGACCTCCTTCCTGATGTTCCAAACGTCACTTACCCCAATCTTCAGTTCTCTTTAACGCTCTGATAGTGAATTCTCTAGGGGCGCGCCGCTCATGCCACTAGGATGTCTTCTCAAGGATCAAAAAAGAGTTGAGCTATATCCGCATCGAGATCCGAACATCCATCAAGATTAGGTACAACTAAGGGCTCGACGGGCTCGACGGCGGCTTGTGCCAGATAAGCAGCATCATAATCATTTATTTACTTAAAAATGTTTACTGCCTAGCCACTGAAGACGAGGTTTACCTGGAATACTTCTTGCGATTTGGCTGAAGCTCGTGAAGAGGCCAGTCACGCGTTGAACTTGATAGGGGAAGCGACCTAGCGACCTCGACCGTTTCCTCCTGCTCCTGCGCGAAATGCCGCTGAAGTACAGGAGATCCGATCGACCCGACAACAAAAAAAATCCAACTCTTCCATGCGTACACATACTTGCGGATCACTCATCATTTCTATCGTGACCAAAGTGATTGGGACCAGTTGGCTAGACAGACTGTTGCCACGCCTTGCAGCCCAGAATTTAGGCAATGAAGCAGTGCATCTGATAAGGCAATTTTGCCTCGTCACATGCCTCCTAAACTCTGCGAAATGACTGCAACGTAGTCAGTCTTCTTCTTTTGTACGCTGTGTCCAAGAAGTTGAGAGGAGCCAATCAGATTCTTGGCTTGCAAAGATGCGGAGAAAATATATTTTGGGAAGGTAGCGAATGTCCCACCAAACCACCCGGCCCTAATCTGTGTTTTTCGAATTAGTTCGAGAATATCCCGTTTCATTTCTGGAACTGGTTGAGCAGCCATAGACATCGCAGATCCAAAAAAAAAAAAAACGCTCAGAAGTGTCCCAGTTGTTTTTCCTCGGAGTTATATCAATATGCCAACACGAGGCTGTGGATCGGACATCTTACCGGCTTGCTCCAACTTCCAAGGTCGAAGTTTCACTTTTCACTCAAGAATTACTGATGAGCCAGAAGTTGGAAGACTCTGTGTGGGGGAACCTGTTTTGGCAATTCGGCAAACTCTACGAGATAAACCTCTGGGCCATCGTCATCAACTGAATCAACACAAACTTATCGGCTAAACTGGACAGATCCCCAACGAATTCAAGGATATCGTCTATCGGATGCAGATAGATATTTAAATGAATCAATAGATATTTCATTCTGCGAGATCACTTTATGAAATTCCCTTGACGAGAAAACATCTTATTCTCTGTTCCAGCTCAACAACAGGCCATCAGATTCTTGAACTGCCCACACTGAGCACAGTAAGATGGCGACCCTTGTTGGCTCATTCACCCAATCTCAATTGTTCAACTTCGCCTGTGTTCCCCTTCTCCTTCTCCAATGCTCCCTACTCCATCCTGCATACGAGGCAGACCCATCAGCTCGAGTGATCCGGTTGCTGCTCTTGCCGGCCATCATAGTCCTGGCAGTGTCTACTCAATCACGGAAATTATTCTTACCGCTGGAGGAGTACCTCCATGTCAATTGTACGTCCAGAGACCAGCGAGCATGCCTTCAGTCCTGTCCTACTCATAGTTCATTTGAAACTTTCTTGAAAAGACGCGAAAGAGTTCTGCCAGAGATTCTGATCCATTAAAAATTAAAAATTCCTCAGATGGCCTTGTGGCTGTGCCCACATTTCATATCTGCTGTCTGGCCGTCCAGTTCGCCTTCCATCGTGGGCCAGCCTTGAAAGAACCCGTCTCGGAGACCGAAAAACATGACATAGCCACAACAGACCCGGCAAAGGTCATCAAGAGCTCGGGAGGATCCATTGAGACTCAGAGTGCCCCGAATACAGGGCGCCGGAAGCTCAATCAACTCGTAAATCAGAAACGGACCATCAAGCTCAAGCGCGATTCTCACTCGAATGATTCGCCCGCTGTGGCGGAATTAATCAAATTTTCGATCGGGATAGTTGCCAGGTAAGTTGGGGTTCAGCTACGAGGCAGAAAGCACAATCGTGTATAATATTCCCCACCTTGCTTTTCTTCATCCACCTAGAAGTATATAGAAGCGAGCAACTAACAACTTTTGTTCTTCCATTTTCTTATTCAGTCCCAGAGGTTTAGCCTACACTTGGGCGCCGCCAACCCGATGTTTATCACGCGCCCCAAGGAAGCCGATTCTGCAATTTATTCGAGAGCATCTGGTTGATATCATCAAGAAGCATGTCCTGTTCCTAATCACGTGTGCTTACCTGCTACCTGCGATCAACCATCCGGAGGGCCCGTGCGGTTGGATATCGGAGACGTTCGGCATCGAAAGATCGCGCGCGCTAGACGTCGTCATCAACCAACTCACCGCCGCCGTCTTCACCTTCTCGGCCATCTGCGCCTTCAATATCCTCGGCGGGGTCCTTAACGGCGCCGAGCTGCTCTTCATCACCCTCGCTCGCCTGATTCTCCCCGAAGACCTCCGTCCTGAGCCCTTCGATACTACTCTCTACCCGCCGCTCTTCAACAGGCTCGGATCTCGAGATAATCTATCCGAATTTTGGGGCCAAGGTTTGTTCATATGCTTAACTACAGCTTTCAATGCCACCATGATCCATGGAAAACTCAAAACATAGAAGACTTAGTGGCATTGACGATTTCTCGATGAATATTTTTCAATTTATTTCTTGGTTTTAGGATGGCAGTGTGTCTTCAGAAGGGATTTTGTGTTCTGCGGTGGCCTGCCAATGGCTAAACTGGGCTCCTTTCTCTTCGGACCTCAGTCTGAACTCCTTTTCGCTCTTATGGGCTCCATGCTCTTGAGTGGCATCTTTGTTTGTCATTTGATTTTTTTTTCTTTAAATCTTCAAACAGTATCAGCCTCAAGATCAGCCAAACTCAACAACAGCATTTGTGCAATCTCTTTTGTTTCGATATTCACTCAAAATAATTTCTTGCACTGAATTAGCACGAATGGGGTAATTTTCTCTCATTTTTTGACGAACAGAAGAGAAGCTTGGTTTACTGTGCATACTCAGGTATTCTGTTTATCTGTTTATCTCACCAGGGATCCTTACAATCACCAAGCCGGACTTAGGATTCAACACGACAAAGTTCTTTGTGATCCAAGGGCTGGGGATCGTACTCGAGAGGAAACTGAACTTGCGAAAGGTGTTGGGCGGCCGGGCAATGCGCCCGTTGCGGTACTTTCTGACCTACTTTTGGCTGTCGTATTGGAGCCAGGATATGTTCGAGATCTTGTACGGCCTGCCCAGTTCTCATTATGCTCTCTAGATCGATAACCCACTGTTCCTATCTCATAAGCATTCACTCCAGCATTCCGATTTCACCTCTCGCCCATCTGAATCCCTCAACTGACTTTGACCCCCGACGCCATTGTGGCTCGTTTGTTTACGCAGGTATGACCGCGGCTTGGGGCGCTCCGGAATCATAGATAGCGATTTCAGAAAGTGGTACTGGTTCCAGTACTGTTTGCCTTTTGGGCCCTTCTTGCCCAGAGGATTGATTAACGGGATCAAAGCTCATAATGGCTGACTGTGTGATCGAATATGCACCGCTTATCCCATGAATCACAAATAAGACGAAAGCGATGGAGCCGTTCTACTCTTTCTTGCCTTTTCTACCGTTTTCATTTTCTAAAATGTATGCCAGTTGAATCAAAAAATAATATATAAAAAAATTATTTTGTTGCCAAACCTTCTTCATTAATTAATCTTCTATTTCCTTCTGTTTTTTTGTCCGGTCTAAACTCAGCACATCAGTAAACATTCCTCTTCCCTTGTACGGAAATCATCAATGATCGTATCACTGTTATGTATGTTAGACAAATTGGATCATATTTGATCATGTTTATCAAAATGTTTTTTGATATGATGTTATTAGCAGTTCATCATAGAATGCTAGAGTCACTGATGTCCTTGCTACTTTTTGCACTGCGTTTGCACCTGTGTTCATGTGAAGAAGCCCAAATATATTCATTGTGATCAACATGATGATTGGAATCTAAGCTTCATCTTATACATAGATAACCATTTTTCTAGATATTTTAATTTTTGACCATTCAGCTTCTGGTCCGCCTTTCTATGTACTAGAAATTTGAGAACATCTTATGTGGTAGAAAATATATGAGCAAAATATTCTACCCCTTTAAGTCAGATTTTGCAGGGACATCTGATTCAAAGGGCCACAGATCTGGTTTTTGTAGGGGCTACAGAACCAGTTAACCCATTAAATTTTTTCCAGGAAGGTGAGTAATATTAGGTGAGTAAACCTCCCCTGAATAAATGAGTGACAAGCCGGTCATAATGTTTTCACACAAATTGCAAAATGTATCAGCATCATGGGATTCATGATTTAATCCGAGTCTATTGATTCCAAAATTTTGGGTTTTTTTTTTCCGAGCACTTGCCCAACTCTTTGCTTTCCTTCAACTTCATTCATTTGGGAGAGTGATTGGATCATACGGATTTCCGGAATGCTGATTCTGCCATGTCCGAGGGTCCGAGCCGCGTCTCCCCGCCGGGCGCAGCCAAGAGTCGGCTGATATTGCATACGAGTTGCGTGTATTCAATTTGAGTGAAAAACTTTCTAGCAAACTCCACCAGGAATTTCCTCTGGCTCAAAGAATAGCGAGTAGCAGCACAACATCCGACATCCAACATTCAACATCAAACAGTTCAATCGGCACCAGCACAACAAAACAAACATTCGGGATGTCCAACAGATTGGTATCGGCACCGATCACGCTCAAGAATTCATGTGGATGCCTAAAAGCTCAACCTCAACCCACTCGGTTCAACCAACTCAATCGATTGTATTCCACCAATCAAATATCGTGCTCATTATCCTTCTCATCAGCATCTCATAAAAACGCCAAGTTCAAACCGAAAAATGACCCCAGACTGCTCTTCAAAGTAAGTGGGTCCCCATCTCACCTGCATGGCCAAATGAAAAATCATTCTAATCATGCATCTGATTCTTTATTTTTATGGAACGTCTACACAGAGCCCATTTCATTCTACCTCTTCCGCCTTCGCTTCTAAGGATCCATATTCAGTGCTTGGAGTCAAAAAAGATGCATCGGGCTCAGAAATAAAGAAAGCTTACTACGCGGTCGGTCTACCTTTCTCACCATCTTTCTTCTTTTCATCAACAATTCTGATGCTGATAAATATCCCCGTTGTATCCTGCTCTAAATCATAGCTCGCCAAGAAGTATCACCCAGATATCAACAAGGAATCAGGAGCTAAGGAGCGGTACCAGAGCGTTCAAGAGGCGTATGATGTGGGAATTTTATTTCTGAATAATAGATCTTGTGTTTATCCTGATGCACCAGAAACCCTGTTTGTTTTCAATTCACGAAGACTCTGAGCGATGAAAAGAAGAGAGCAGCCTATGATCAATTTGGACCGATGTCGCAACAACCAGGCTTTGATCCCAACGCCTTCGGAGCTGGTGGAGGCGGTTTTGGAGCTGGTGGAAACCCATTCGGAGATATGTTTGGTGGTGGAGATCCTGGGGATGTATTTAGCAGCCTATTTGGAGCCTTTGGCGGCCGATCCGGGGCTCGAGGAGGAAACCAGCAGGTTTTTGTTGGAGACGATCTCGAGGCATCGATTACGATTCCGTTCGAAGAAATGGCCAAAGGGACCAGCCGATCGATCGACACCACACCCATCGTTAACTGCCCGCCCTGTCACGGTGAAGGCATCAAACAGGGAGCAAAACCACAAACCTGCCGAACATGTAACGGGACCGGGACGATGACCTTCGTTGTTCAGAGTGGCTTCACAATGGCTAGTACCTGTCAGAGCTGTGGCGGATCGGGTAAAAAAGTCGACGATAAGGATCTCTGTGGCTCTTGTGGAGGGATCGGAAAAGTTCGAGATCGCAAACAAGTCGACGTCAAAATCCCAGCAGGTGTAGAGGATGGAATGAGGATCAAGTTGGCTGGCCAAGGTAATGCGCCAGTCGGCGGAGGTAAAGGTGGCAGGCCGGGTGATCTATACGTCAAAGTCAATGTGTCTCCCTCGAAAACATTCAGAAGGCAAGGTAATAATTTATACACCGAGGTCAAGATCCCATTTCATGCTGCCCTCCTTGGGGGAACCGTCCGAGTACCCACGCTGGAGAAAGAGGTCGAAGTTCAGGTCCCACGAGGTACCCAACCGGGCGAAGAACTGGTGCTCAAAGGCCGTGGAGTCAAACATTTATATAAAGAATGGCTTGGTGACTTAATTGTCAAGTTCAATGTCACAATCCCAAGGTTAGTCACTCGACTAATTTTTTCATCATCAATCATACGCCAGCGCGCGCCCGAAGCCTAACTGCAACCTTTGTATGCGGCATTCAGGTCTTTAACCAATGACCAACGGATAGCATTGGAAGCCTATGTGGCCACTCTTGAAGGGAAACCCAATCCCACAACGTCAACAAAGTCTTCTACTGACTCTGAACCGAGTAAGTAAACATGCTATTTTGCTTATTCCGTTTGTGAATAATTTCTTCATCCACATATTCTCTCAGTGTCTCTTGATTTCCTGTGTGAATCAATCCGCCGATTGAATCTGGGTATTTCTGGTTTTTCATGCCCCCAGAGAACCAGCACTCATCATAACATCTTGGTCTCTTACCCCCATCAATTAATCTTACACCAACTTTCGCCACATTTCACAACAAATTGCACCTCTTTCCATTGTCCCTGGCATCTCATTTTCTTCGAATTGTTCACTTTTGTGCGTTTTTCTTCCTTTGGGGGACATTCATTAGATCATGATGACCACAGTGACTCCTCTAATAGATCAAGTGATGGTCTATTCTCTTCGATCAAGAAATTATTTGGAAGATAACACCTCTCGCAACGAGGCCAAAGCCAAGTTAATGAAATCGAAACCGATGTCTTTTTGAACTCTCTCTCTTCCGACTTGGGAATCAGAATTAATTGTATACAAATAGAAGCAATCAGTCTTTCTTTTTCCTCTTCTTTTTCAAACTCCATGCTTCCTTCATCACATTCACTGCTCAAACCTTGATCTGTTGAAAAATTAACCCATCCATTCATCATAGATATCTTGATTCTCTAATATTTCCCCTCTTTTCGCTTTCAAAACTTGAGAGCAACACACTACCCCCAAATCCCTTGTATTTTTTAAGAAAACTGGAACACTTTCTTACTCATTTCCCTTCCATATCTTTGGTTTGTTAAAACTGGCAAAAGAAACAGAGCGACGGAGTACTGCTAATGACGACGTTCAGAAGGATCAGCCGACGAAATCGAAGTCAGATAAACCATTGAACACGGGCAAATCGACTGAGAAGCAAGCGTCGAAGGAAGAAGATTCAGGGGTAGAAAAGAACACGTCGCCGCCATCGGATACTACCTCTTCATCTAATGCGCTGGAGGATGATAATCAAGACGGCTCCTCTCAAAACCGTAAACCCATGAAAAAGGCATCATCTTCTTCTTGATGAATCTAATTTTTATCTGTAGATAGTCTATGCATCCAAAATCAATTTCCTCATATAGAGGATCCTCATGACTGCTTGTCACGAAAAAAAAAGTCCCTCTCGTAATAGAAAAGATTGGATAAATACTCCCCTTGAATTGCACAAATTAACTACCCTCCACGAGCAATTTCGTGTCGCACGAGGTCCTGGGCTGGTCCGCTCCCGAAGTGGGGGTCGTTTGTTGAGTTGAAGGGGTCGCCCCTCTTGAAAATTGGCGGTTCACGAATCACCACTAGAAAAGGCATGTTGCCTTTGAACCTCAACATTGAGAAGAGCACCTGAAAGTGTGTCGCCATCTTGAGAAGACTCTTTTATGAAGGTTAGCACTGCCTATCACGAGCCATTCAGGCCAGGAAGCACTTGCCACTGGGCATCGTCCCTGCTTATCCTGGCTAGCCTACTCCCAATTTTCTATCTCAAGTATTAGTTGACTGTGTGTTTCTTGTACAACTGGGCACATGAGGCCTATACTATGATCGAGAGAGTCTAGACACCACAGTCTAACCTCTTTGACTGTTTCCACTCATGTCTTCAAAAAGGGTTGGATATGCCAAACGGGGACTGTTGCTCATTTCTCAACGGCCTCAAATTGAAGCCAGTCACTCTAAATTATCTCCCATTTCTCTCCATTCATATCAAGCGATTTTCGCGGGTGGTGCTTCTCAAGATGAATGAAGATCAAGCAGCCAGCGGTGCAAGAAGCAACACCGCAGGAGTACCAGAAGACATCAGAGAAACTAGGAGGAATCGATCTATGGCTGGTGTGCAACCTTGTGGAACAGGAAGGCGGTGAAGGCTCTGGAATGTTGAACCAATGTCACGCGCTATGTAGGCTTCATGAACCAATCATTGTATTCGTTGGACTCGACTTGAGGAGCCAGTCAGTGGATCAGCCTAGTCGAAGACTGGGATCGAGCTGCTCCTCATCAACTAAAGTAAGTATAGCGTGCTTTGAATCTGCTCTCAGATGGATCCGCTCGATGGAAGGCAGGAGAGTGGAATGTGTATAGAGCAAGAGCAAGAGGGCACTATGTACCCGACCCGGAAGAGATAAAGAGACGCAATGCTCTTGATCCACCCGAATCTCCCTACACATTCGATCAAGCTAAACCATTCATCAGCTGGTCTGCCAAGTAGAGGCCGTATTTAAGAACTTGTGAGCCTGCTATAAATTCCCCTTTCAGGCCTTTAACACTCTTCCTGGAGCTAACATTTAAGAATCTCAAGAAAAGCAACCTCAATATTTTCTTCTGTTTAGTACAAGACAGGTCTTGTGTTTTCACGCCTCGAACAAAATGCAGTTGATCCGCTTCGTCACCCTGCTCGTCAGCTTGGTCTTGCTTCCGGCCGTTACGTTGGCTAGCTGCCATTTCAAGCACTACGCTCCGCGGAACAAAACGGCTCTTGCTGCATGTATTCCGAGTATGAAGGCCTCCCGAGTAGATAATTCAAACTGTGGTAATGTGAAATGGTACTTGTCTCAGTCAGTAACACATCATCTGTTTTTCTCTGCACTTTTCCGCAACAATATGAGCGGTCTGCTAATTCCCATGGTCCGAAAAACAACCCGTCTGTCTTGCAGAAGTGCTTGGTCGAATACCGAAGACTGCTTCAACCTATGCGCCGCTTGTCTTTCCAGTGGTATCTCCGCTGGCGCTTCCGAGGTGTCTTGTCGCCAACGAAAGCTGTTTGCACATTGTCATGTCGGATTCTTTTAAAGAAAAACAAAAACTTCCCGATCTCCATGTGCGGGGTGCATGTTCTCTTCTTGTTACCAAAGCTTTTTCTATCATTATTTTGTTTCTCCTGAGTTCTCGCTTGGCAGCTTATCTGCTCCTAGTTCTCTCTGCTTCTTTTTCACTTCTTTCTTTCTCGCGCTTGTAGCCTCCATTCATTCTTTGTCATGTGGGCTTCCTTACATTAGCTTACATTTCATAAATTGCATTGCACGCCTTGTTCAAGATTATAGCACATGAGCTGGAAGAGTTCTTTTTTCATCCATCCAAATATTCACTTGACATCCAACCAGACAGGAATGTATAAAAGCCAAATGGAGGAATTCCTGTCAATATCTGTAGACCCTACAGAATCAGATTTAGCCCCACTCAAGTCAGATTTTGCAGGGAAATCTGATTCAGGGGGCTACAAATCTGTTTTTTTAGGGGCTACAGAACCAACAGGAAGTCTGCCAATATGATAGGATGGGGCCCCATCTCACAGTCAAATAAGCCATCTGCCCTACCTTGCTGGGCCAGTCTATGTGACATTGCTAGTTCAAACATTTATAGTGGTCCTGGAAGACTTCCCATCAAAATCTGTGGATCCCCCAGTTTTGGTCTAGAGCCTTAAAAGCTAGATTTTCCCGCAAGAATTTAGGGTTACTTGGGTCTAAGTTGAAAACTGCAAGGGCCCCAGATCCAATGGAAAATCATCAAGTGTTGGCACTTGGCTGCACTTTGTCCTAAAGGTTGTTTGAATTTCTACTTGCTGGCATTTATCAGGGTGTCCAAAATTACATGACTAAATTGCAGAATTATAACAGCATTGGAGGACTTCCCATCAGATCTGGGACCCTCACAGAAGTCAATTTAGACCCAAAAATTCTTGATTCTCGCAGAGAAATTTGAAATTTGAGGCTCTAAACTGGCTCTGGGAGACCCACAGATGTTGATGGGACGTCGTCCATTCTTGGTGACTTTTGAAGGAACTTGCCAAGGTTATTATTATTATTATTGAATTTTATGCATGTTGCTTGCCAATTGATGTACTTGTAAAATCTTAATCTGTTGTTTGAATTTGGGTAGAGATCGTTCCGCGGTACCCTTTGCTAGGTACCTAGTACCGCTTGGGGGGTACCCTTCACACCCTCCCCGCACCCGTCGGGAGGTGCCAGGTGCGGTACTTGGTACCTATTTTTGTGAAAAATTGAACAGGTACCTAGGTACCACTACAGGTACCCCCTCACTTCCCTACCAAAATGATGGTGGCCTTCTACTCCAAGAACTCCAAGAAGGTACCTTGGCTACATGGAAACAGGGACTCAAGGATAACAAGAAGTCTAACCAAAAATCAAAAAGGAAGGTGATAGTTTTGGACAACAATGAAGATTCTTCTAATAATCTAATTAGATATAATTTGCAGACAGTTTAAGCTTTAAAATAAATTATTAAATGTGAACAAATGAAAAAATTGACTTGGGATTGATGTTTTACAATAAATATGAAAAAAGGCAAGATTCTTCCCATTAGATGTAGATACTTGACAACAAATATGAAAAAAATGCCAAAAAAGTGACTTGAGTAATATTTGACAAAAAATATGAAAATAATAATAATAATGAAGTAAGGTTCTTCCAATTAGTTTAAGATGTCTTACAACAAATATGACAAAAGGAAAAACAGTGACTTGGGAATGATATTTTCAATAAATATGAAAATATAATAAAAAAGTAGGATTCACTTTCAACACTACCTCATATCCAGTACTGGATATGGAGTAAAAAAAACTGGATATTCAGTGTTTTTTTTTTAAAAAAAAAAATGGTGTGAAGAGGTGAACAAAAAAAATATAAAAAGAGGCTTGGCTAATCGACTCCCAAAAGTTGGAGAGTTGACTCCCAAACCCCCAAAACCCCCGAATTTGGGAGTCGATCCCCCAAACCTGTCAGCAGGTTTGGGAGTCGGATCACCAACAAATTAAAATAAAAAAAAACTGAAACCCCCGAAGGGGGAGGGAGTCGATGCCTCAAAACCCACTGGGTTTTGGGGGTCGTCAACCCAAAAACAGCCCCCAACGGCCGGGAGGAAATCCTCCCGGCCATTGAGAGTACACTCTCAACAGGCGAGAGCGCATACCTCTCGGTCGTTGAGAGTGTACACCCTCGGCCGCTGAGAGGTACACGGCCGTTGAGTGTACCTCTCAACGGTGGAGAGTGTACCCAAGCCTTCGATATCGTAGATAGTTACCCTCAAGGAAGTATTCTGGGACCATGGCCATCCACTGCCCCAGAGCTTGCACACAATCTACTCGGATGTTAGGATCTGCAACACAATATCTATGAACAAAAACCCTGCATGACACAGTAGAGAGAAAAGCAAAAGAGAATTCATTTGTTTGTGTTGTTTGGAGTGTTAAAAATCTATGGAAATGGACGAACCCATCGAAAACTTGCTAATGAAATTTTCGAGCGCAGTTTTCTCTTGAAGAACTTGCTTTTTCCGTTTCTGCCATTTGGCTAGTTGATCAAGTTTGGGAGAACTAGCATGTTTCTTAGCAGCTTCGACCTCGACTTTCCTACTCAATCTAGTTAACTCCTTCTTCACACAAAGGACTGACGAAGCCGAAGAGACTGATGACAGTATAGGTATGTCTAAAGGATCTTAGAGTCGACGAGCTCATCAAGACTAAATAGGACGGCATCGATATCCAATGCTTTATGCTTATCAATGCTGCAGTTACATCCGCAGGATCGTAGGATGAAGTTGATCAATTCTCTTGGTCGTTGAGAGTGTACACTCTCAACGACCGAGAGGTATGCGCTCTCGCCTGTTGACAGTGTGCTCTCAATGGCCGGGAGGATTTCCTCCCGGCCATTGGGGGCTGTTTTTGGGTTGACGACCCCCAAAACCCAGTGGGCTTTGAGGCATCGACTCCCTCCCCCTTCGGGGGTTTCAGTTTTTTTTATTTTAATTTGTTGGTGATCTGACTCCCAAACCTGCTGACAGGTTTGGGGGATCGACTCCCAAATTCGGGGGTTTTGGGGGTTTGGGAGTCGACTCTCCAACTTTTGGGAGTCGATTAGCCAAGCCTCTATAAAAATACCACATATCCAGGTTTATTTTACTGCACATCCAGTGCGGGATATGAAGTTATGTTTCAAGTGATTCTTCCAATTGTTTGTCAACATTTCACAATAAATATGAAAGAATGGAAAAAAGTGACTTGGGACTGATATTTTACAATAAGTATGAAAAAAATGATAATAAAAAAGTGACTTGGTAATCTGAAAGTGAACCTAGGTTAGAAAGAGAGGGGAGGTACCCGCGGTACCCACCAAAAGTACCGCCGGTACCCACCGGGAGGTGCCTGGTGCGGTACTTGGTACCTATTTTTTGAAAAAATTCAACAGGTACCTAGGTACCAACAGGTACCCGAGTACAAACAAACAATCTCTAAATTTGGGTGAAAGTTGAAATGCAATCTTGAACAATCCAAAGGAGTCCAAGATGGCTTTTTCAAATCCATGACTGTTGCATTTTTCTGGCCTCTGATAATTTGGAATTTTGATCTTCAAAGCAAGATGGTGAGCAAGATGGTGTTAGATTAGAATGAAGTTCTTCAACACCAAAGAGAAATCCTCAGAAAGTGAGTTTTAGGCACTGCAATAAAACCTTTCTCATATTATAACACTTGAAGTAAGTTCCAATGAATAATCAGATAATATGAAAACCATATTGTACATTAGGCCTGTACATATCATAGGGCTTGAAAACTCAATTTCTCAGAATCAATCTTCCTCAAATATCTATATGTATGATCAAGAGAAATCTTTGCCAAAAGCCAGTTTGTGGCATGAAAGTGAAGAATAATGAAAGTGAAGAATCTCAATAAAACATCTCCCACTTTTTCTCAATTTGTGTACTGAAGACAGCAAAAATGACAAATTTTCAAAATTGAATCCAGCAGTACAGGCCCTAAGGGAAACATCACAGTAAATGAAATTTGAGAATGAATGAAAAAATGTGACTAGGAATGAATCAAATTGAATTTTTCAAGTGAATGAGATCTTTGGTATTCAGTTCCTGCAATGTTGCAACAAATACAGTATTTGATGGATGAAAAGCTCTAGTTGAACCTGTTTGGTTTGCTTTTAGTAGATGGAACCTTGCTCATTCTAGTTTCTCTGCTTCCTCTGATTTGATTCTGACCCTTTCTAACTCTTCTTCCTCTCTCCTCCCTAGTTCTTCCTGATGACAACAATATTCTTCCTTGGAGGCAGCCAGGATCTTGGCAAGTTGATCAGTTTTGGATTCTTTTTGGTTGAGAGTTCTGCTGGTTGGATTGCTAGTTGTCCTTATTGGTGCTGCTATTGGGTGGGTTATTGTTCTTCTGCTGTTTGGTGGTGTGGGGAATATTAGGCCCTGTTTGGCCGCAAATCATGATTTGTGATTTGGCTAAGGTTTGGCACGGATTTGGACCGTGCAATATAAAACAATATAAATTTGTTGCACAAACTCCTGCCAAACCTTTCCTCAAAATTTTAAATTATGGACAGCCAAATGGGGCCTTAACTGCTGTTGGTAATACAGTATTTGCAATCCATAGTCATGAATCATGTCATGTATCATTGACTTGATGTAAATTGTTTCATGAACAATGTAATTCTATTGAGAGTGCCATACAACAAATCTGACTCTTAGCCATATTTGTGGGTAAAATTCCTTGTGATACAAACTGTGCATTGTATTTGTTGCAGTGTTGGCTCCAGTTTTGAGTCTACACAAACCAGAGTTTTTAATTTGGTACAAATTCTAAGTGTTTAGCTATTTGAATTTCCAATTGTAGGAAGAGAGCTTCAACATTTTCCATCCAACAGCAGATTGAATTTCCTCAAACCCCTATCATAACCTTCATTACCAAAGGAAATATACTTGAAGCTATGCAAAACAGAATCAAATATCTCATTTTGGATCTGTTTGTAATCAGAATCTGTAATTCAACTGAAGACTTGCATTATGATTATACAGCAGCTTTTGATTGGAAAATGGAACCTCCCAGGGCCAATGAAATTGGAGATTTGATTTCCAATGTTGAAATGATCAGTCCCCAAATGGAATCCCCTTTTCACAGCTCAGGAGTACAATCATATTCTAGGCATATCCTGAACAATCTGCCACCTAATTATGAATTCTATGGAGATTTCATGAGTGCTCGTGTTCTCCATAAACCCATCCATCACATTGAAAAAGATCCCAAAGACAGTTCACTATACCATAGGGGGACCAGTTTAGTTCATTATCATGCCAAAGAGCCTGAAACAGGAAAAGAAACCCCATTCTTTCAAATTAAAAATAATTTGGATTCACATCAGAACAATCATGTGAATCACAAAAGAAAATTCTTTGAACATGAAGTCCCTCCTGTGGAATCATCAAATTTTAAACTTGATCTTCTCAAGGATTTTTCTGGCATGCTTGAATGTAAGGATCCATCTTTAGCAGAAATTTCAGATTATTTCATCCCTTCAGAAACTTCATCTGATGAAGTTCTCCTTCAAAGAACCATGGGTCAATCTATGGGATCAACTCTAAACCCCTATTCAGAAACTTTGACTGGCAGTGGAATCAATTCAGCACAACAGGGCAATATTTTTTCTTCTCAATCTAAAAAAGAAATTCATCCTTCAAGTGATACAATATTTCCTTGGTCAGAATCTATCAATATTGAAGTCCCTTATGGACTCCCATATTGGTCATTCAAACAGCCTAGTATTGGAGGCCACACAATTCCTTCCAGAATTGAGAGTTCCTCCAAACGATTGAAAAACCTTGGTCATGAAAACACTGCAGAAGTTCAATTTTATGAAACACAAATTAACACAATTAATACTTCTCTGGAACCCATTAGAAATAATTTTGAATCAATTCAAAATAAATTTTCTTCCGGAGGATACAGAGACATCTTCATGAATAATGACATTGGTATCCTTGGTCAACCTTCAATTCCAAACAAATGCAAATCTCATGGAGAGCTGATTTTTCACAAGGGAATATTCAACAAAATCAAATCACCAGCTTCTGAAAAAATTTTAGAGCTTATTGAATTAATTTCACAGCAAGGAACTTCAGGGGAAAAATTGCTTATGCCAGGAGACCAATTTCCATTCCAAAATTTTTACAAGTGTTTCTACAAAATTTCTAGATCTGGTTTCAAAGTATCAAAGGAAGATTTTCCTGGATTCTTTGAAACAGACGAGTTGAAAAATTCAGAAAGGAAACCTTTTACCTCCTTGAAACATGCTCAAGAAATGCTCTTCCATAATAAAGCACAGTGGTATTCACATTGGAATAGAAAAACTCATGACTATTATGAAAGCCACCTTGAAAAATTTGAAGGCTTCCATGGAAATACATTAAGAAAATTGGCTGTAACTTATTTGTTTTATGTGGAGATGATTTGTACTATTGTCCCCCAATCACATGATGTGTCAAATTTAGCCTGTGAATTAAAAGATGCATTTTGCCTTTTTGAAACAATACAAACAGACAAAAATGGGCAATCCAATAAGAAAATCAGAAAACACCAGCAATTTTTACTACCTAGGCTCAGAGCACGGGGTGGGATTTTCAATTCAATGGCAACTGTGTGGAATTTGTTACATATTTGGCTTGAAATACACCATCCAGAATCTTTACAAAAATTATTGGAGGGATTTCATAACGTTGATACCATGAAGAAGTTCTTCAATATTGTATTCTGCCTTTCCATTGAGGGTCTCAATGATCAAATAAAAAAAGAAGAGAAATTGGAAAACATGTAACATCAGATATCTTCTGACTTTGACTTCAAAATTGCATGTGTTATTGTTTTTATTAATGAATATTCCCCAAATAAGCTTTAGTGTGGCTACCATACCACTACAATGAAAGGATTTTGCATCAGAAAAACACAATTTCAATCTAACACCATGTTGTTTAAAGCACAAGCCTATGTTGTGAGGGAGGACTTCCCACCATAATTTGCAAGGCTGTAAATTTTACTGTTAATTCCTAGGTAAGACACTTATCACCATCATGAGTAGTGCACACAAGAGGTACCAATGCTATGTTCAAAAAATCATGGCTAATTGTTTCAAAAGAAAAAGATTTAACATTGCCCTTCTGTGTACCTCATATGTATTCTCTTGTCAAACAAATTTCTCCTGGGCCATAGCCCCCATCAACATTGGTTCCCTTGTGCCAACTGGAAGGGACCCTGCGGAAAGAGAAAGCACCCCCCCCCCCCGAAAAACAAAATCTGAGCTTGGCATGGGCCTAACATGGACATGGTGGTTTATTGCAAATTTTCAATGTGTCTATACACATATTAGAATGTGAATTTGTGAAAGAAAAGAAGAAGAGATGTTACAAGGTAAAAAACCATATGCATGTGTACCAGAAAATATTATGCATGTGTACCAGACAATATGGAGCTCTGATTCCCAAGGCAACCAGTCTGGGTGGGGAAGGTGACTATGTAAAAATGGGAAGGAGTTGAACAGAGAAGCTGAATGCATTTAGAAAAAGTAAGATTTTCCTGATACCAATGATTTTGCTTGTCTTGGATTGCACAGTTTGACGAAGGTATGGCCATAAATCTCTGAACACAGACTGCTCATTTGGACGGCGTCTACTTATTTCTCCGCCACACAACTGTTACACGCTGATATTTATGGTAAGAATAGTCTTAGTAAGCTGTCGTATTTTGTTTCATTCGAAATTGAGAGACTCACACTGTCTCTGACTGTTTTTTGGGACGTATGGACATCCAAATATTTCGTTTCCAACGCGGACCTCTACAAACCGGTGAGGGGGTTGTGAGTAACGATTCAACTGGGTAGTAGTCAGCCCAATCCAGAACCATATAAATTATAACATACGAATGTGATTGGGCCCGGTGGAATAATAGTACGGGGCTTTAGGGCCTGCGTCTCCTTTTAGACTGTTGTTTGGGGAATCAATATACTGGCAATAACCAAATTGAAAATCTGATGGTCATCCAGCACGAATGTGTAGCAGGAGGAAGACAGTGCTTAATTCTCAGAAATCTTGAGAAAGTAGAGATATCTTACCCTTATTGCATGATTCCTTCTTACAACTGTAACGTATCCCGTCGGTACCAAGGCATTCTGCAGATCAAATTTGGGTTTCTTACGACAAATTAGAAGATGTGACGATGCGATTTCAGCTGTTGTGGAGGGAATCATTAGTGCTTACTTGCTTCTGGAAAAAATGGCACGTTGATATATTGTACGTCGCAGTTGTGCCTATAGTTTCTTCGCACAAGGGAGTGTTTCCGCGATTCTAACAGCTGAACAGAGGGAAAGAGAGTCAAAGTGATAACTGCATAGATGATGTACGATCTTTGAATCCAATTGGTGAGGAACATGGTTAGTTGCGACTTGGAGGGTGGCTGGTGTGTGTAAAATGTGAAGGTTAGAGCAAGTCTTAGATGGACGATGTTGTTCGGTGCCTCGCGATACGGGTGAATGCAAAGCCTTTATGTTGGATGGCTTGAATGCCCCCTACGCCTGTGTCATCGTCTATGGCCAACGGGACCTATGGACCCTGTCCTGTTACCTTGCACTGTAGAGTTGCCAATGCGAACTCGGCTCTAATATGCACTGTGGAGCTGACTTTGCAAACATAACCTGATTGCAGCTCTACAGTACAGGTTAACAGGGTCCATAGGCCAGTGTTGTAGGTGCACTGCTGATTCAAACCGAGGAAGAGGACGGGTTCAACAAGACCAATTCGGACAGTGCAGAGGGCGGCTGCCGTTGCTGATGAAGCCGCGAACAGGAGGAAAGCCACTCCAGTATGGAATTAACGTCTCATTTAAATCACATCACATCTCATCGCATTCGAAGGAAGAGAAGAAAATCACACATCTGAGGAGCAAGCTCCCCATCAAAACTGCTTTTGAAAGCAGAGGATGCCAAAGCATATCGTTCTGCTTAGGATGCTAACGTTTTCTTTCGGTTTTTAATTTTTTCGATCGTATTTGCCCGATGACTGATTGCTTTGTCCAGCCGGAGGCTTGAAGTAAATAGGTCTTTGTCGCGTTCCTCGTGACCATACCCCTTTCGTCCACTTGGGTAATCGAGCTGTTCAACATCAATCCGCCTCACCAAAACCACCAAGATCATCTGTTCAAATCCTACCAAGTGCTAGTTGATCCTTTGCAAACTTGTTCCTAATGCGTTTCATCGGGATGATTGTAGTCGCAGCGGCGCTGGAACTCCTCAATGAAGTGTCGTCGGCGTACTGGGACCAACACGCGAGGCACTCCCGCAGCTGCACTGCGCCTAACATATGTTGGAATGTCAACTCTTCCACTGGGACGGCCACCCTAGTCTGCACTGGTTGTAATAAAAATAGCAAGGCGGCATTCCGCTTTGGCGTTTGTAGTTTGTGCAGTTACTCGGGGCCCCCTGATGCGGTCTACATCCCCCGCAAGTGCAATTCCTGTCAGCAATCAGTCGAGTACGGTTACAACGCGCTGATGTGTCATGTGAAACAATGCAGTCACGCCCCAAGTGAATACCGACTCCCAAAAAGGACTTGTGAACACTGTGGGGCCCCTCCACCAAGTGAATAAATCAATTGCAACTGGTATGCCCGGTCCTCACATAGGCCGCTGCCCTCCCATCCAATTATAGATCGTCCCACCAGCATCAAGTCAACGCCAGTCTCACGATTGGCTGATGGATGCATTTCAAGTCAACTGCAGGCCAAACCAAAAAAAAAAAAAATGAGTCATACAAAACCTGTAAAGCAACAAAGCAAAAAGAACCAAAAAAAAAAAAAAAAAAAAAAAGAAGGGGGCTGGCCGAGTGCTGGAGATTTGTAGCAACATAAGAATTTTTTATGAATACACTCATACCTCTAGATCTATTGTCCAATCATATCTTGAAAATTGCTATAGAAGAAAGTGTGATAGACTCAGTCAGCAAATTTTTGCGAGTCCCCTCAAAAAAAAGGACGATGAAAAACATTTGAGATGAATAAGATGTGAGGAGATCACTTACAGCCAGTAGAATACATAAGCTCATTGGCATCATGCATAATCATCAAGATCTTGATAGCTTCTGTCTGGTCGAATATTCGACTTGGGATTCCGTCATTCACTTGTTTCAATAGTTCATCAATCTCGATCATACTATCATCCGATCGCATAAACGTCTCCCCTAATCTTTGTTTAAACAATTTGATCCTGCACGCGCAGAAAGTCGATTAGAGTTAATTCAAAACAAAAGTACTGAAATGAGCATTGTGTCCACACACCTCTCAGGACTCAGCTCAGCAGAGCTTGTGGAATTAGAGTCGGTGATTTGTGATTCTTCAGTCGTAGGTTGAATGGTGATAGGATCTATTTGCATTTGATCAGATGATTGTTGGTTAACGGTATGAGAGCCAGAGGCAGTCGCTTCAGGGAGGGTCCCTCGGGAGCGTGTGGGATATTTCGATGGGCCGGCCGGCTGGGATTGATCTGCGACCTCAACATTAGCCCCTTCATCGCTCTCGTCCTCATCCTCCATCTCTTCCTCATCTGAACCAACTCCCTTCTTTGGTTTATCCACTTTTCTTCTCTTGTTCCCACTCTGACTCTTCCGCGACTTCATGACCTCTTTGAATAGAGCAAATCGCAGGATCGCTTCCGCTCCATGCGCATCAGCTACACTGACCGTGGGTGACAATCGCGCTTTAGCATGCGCAGTCGCCAGACGGATAAGAGTTTCGAGAGTACGTGCGGTGAGTGGAGTTGTCTAAACAAATCAAAGGAAATCAATCTGAATTCATGAGCGAGCCCAATATTTATGACTAGATGTATGCTTCCGTACCCTTTTTTGGTTAGACTGCAAGTCATCGTTTCGAAGAGATGAATAAACTTCCACGATCAGGTTGGCTGCATCTTGAGTAAGGGCCGGTTTGCAATTGTTCTTAGCATATTGAATGTATTTCTTAATGAACTCAATCGACAGGACTTCTTTGCGACGACGGTCCCCTTGACCCTCATCATCATTTCCAGTGACACCGGCATGTAAGAGCGGATTGAATTTTTCGAATACTGTGGTTTCCTTTGCAGCACCCGGGTCCAAAGAATCGATTCCGATGCCGACTGAGAGATTCTGTTGGAGGACATCAACCGCTGGAGTACCTTCTTCCACTCCGGGCTGTAAGTAGCGATGCATGCGTAAAACATGTTCAGATATCTTTCGATCCCGATGTTCATCAGAATCATCTGTGACAATGAACAATAAATCAAAACGAGACAGGAGCGAGTCGGGTAGTGCGATATTCCGATGGGGGTCCTTGTGTACATCATACTGTCCGTAGATTGGATTGGCTGCGGCGATGACGGAGCATCGGGCATTGAGCGAGGTGTGAATCCCAGCCTTGGCTATGGTAACGGTCTGCTGTTCCATCACTTCGTGAATTGCTACTCGATCGACATCAGACATCTTATCGAATTCGTCGATACACACCACACCCCTATCCGCAAGGACCATGGCACCGGCTTCTAAGCGTCTTTCACCCGTTTCCTTATCTGTGGTAACTGCTGCTGTCAAACCAACCCCCGAAGAACCTCGACCGGTAGTCGCGATAGCCAGAGGGGCAGTATTAAGGACGAATCGGAGCATCTGAGATTTGGCTGTTGAAGGGTCACCGACCATGAGCATGTTGATGTCACCCCTGATATGAGTCCCGTTTGTAAGATTTTTCTCTAAACCCCCCAGCAGGAGTAGCAAGACAGCCTTCTTGATGTGCTCATGTCCAAAGATAGAGGGTGCTAGAGATTCGGCTAGTAATTTGATTACTCCTCGCCGTTTGGCGACCTTTTTGATGTTGCGTAGGTCGAGTTCTGTGAGTTGAACTTGGGCAATACCGCCTCCCGCCTTCGAAGATAACAAGACTACGTTGTTGGCCACGATAAGGGTCCTAGAAATGATTTAGGAACAATTTGAGATCAGCATCACAAGATGATGCATTGCTGACTGGTGCGTAAGTCAAGCAATACGTACTTGAAGGTTGCACTGCCACCACCTGCTCCTTTGGCACCTAAGCTTCGGTACATTCCCACTAGTTGAACTCGATCGCCAGGTTTACAGTTATCCACCAGGTCGTCGTCCATAACTACCTCGACGCTCCGGGGTAGCTGTCCAGCTGGTGCTCGCTCGGGCATCTCTTGGATCGCTACGGTTTGGTGATCCATATATGTCGACAGACCAAATTCAGTTTCGAGTGGATTGCCGTCAGCATCTTCTTTGGGATAGAGTGCCTGTTGTAGATGTCAGTATTCAGCGAGCAGGATGAGATAGTGAGAAAAGGAACAAAAAGAAAAGCGACACAAACCGTGCTCGTTGGTCCGGTGCCACCACTAAGTTGATCACGGTATTCCCGCTCATAAAATTGATTGGTTTCTTGGCAAAAGTGTACACTTTTGATTACTTTTGGACGAACCAAACTACCTAAGTTTTGCCGAAAGAAACCCCTTCATCAGCAAGCAAATATCCACACATTGTCCAGGAAGCCTTCGGGCAAGACATACATCTTGTAACGATTCCTTCCAAAGATACAATTTTTCCAATCATATGACTTCTCAATGTCCTTGGGTTGACATGATGGTCGCCAAAAGAACCCCTTAAACCTAGACCGATATATACATATATCATAATTAAATCAAATTCTTCAACCGAGTGGTAGCCTATGATCGAATACACCCACCGACGTAATATCGCCTCTGGTTCTGAACATCCGTTGATGTCAAGGAAGCAACCATCTCGCCCAGCGCAAGCTCAAACGCAGCCATATGTTCGATGGGCGACTTTAACAAACTAAAGAGAGGGTCCATCGATAAGCATTCTTCTCTTTATCGATTTTTCAATTTTGGGGCGTAGTACGCATGACTTACCGATCACAATATTCTCGATTATAATCACGTAGATCATCAAGATTTACGATCAGTCGTCGGTCACCTTTTTCGACCATCTTTCGAACAAGTATCCTATAATTGGGTTTTCTGGTCTAGATTATCGCCCAAAAGAAGAGATCATACCCGATAAGTTAGAATCCATATATATTCGGTCTCTCGAAAATGAGCAATGATAAAATTTTGGGAATCGCAAGTGCAAACTTCATCATCCAAGAATTCAGTGAATGTTCGAGCAATATCTTTCAAGTTGCTGGTTGGATCCGTCGGTGGTAGATCGAATGACGGAGGAGGTGCCTGACTGTCGTCCATTGTTTCTACTTATTCGGTTCGTCGGATGAGCTTGTTGTTTGATGATTGATACAAGTCGAGTTGAGTTTTGTTGAGTGCTTGGTCAACACGCGTCGTCTCCTGGAAGTTGGGACGCGCGGCGCCATGATGATAGTGCCAGTCACCCGGGGGTATCCCCGAGTCCCGGTAGCCGTAGTGTAGGAAAATCATAAGTATATGCAGCCGGAATCCGGACCGGTGACCCCGCCGGCAGAGTGCATATATCCCGGCTCGTCGGAGTCTCATCGGACTGATAAGCCTGGTTTCAGGATTTGTAACTTCTCGTCCATCTGAACCTCAAGCAGTTCATCCTAGTCATCGCCCCGAGTGAGCAGGCCGAGCGAGCTCATCAAGCCTGGCGCCCTCTCATGTGGAACATCTTCTACAATCCTTCAGCTGTTTGTATACACCAATACAATTTTCAATCTCGATTCCTCGATTCAAGGATGAGGTGATAGCTGGCCTATGTACATAGCTACAGATACCGCGTACCAGATACGACACTTGACCAACGAGCCTTTGGCGTTATCTATCGGCCTTATCTCTCGGGAAGGTGTTGTGACGTATTTGAATTGATTTCTTGACGAGGATTGCGATGGTCGGAGTGCAGAGGACTTTTCTACAGAACTTGAATCCAAACCTGAAGCGGTGCGAAGAAGATACACTAGAGAGGCACGCAGTAGCATCTGGTATAACTAGAGCGTGCAAGAACGACGAAGGAAGAGGTCAAGTTTAGAATTGTGTACACTGACATTATTCAAGATGGATGGTTCGGAGCACCTTTTCATCTGACCCATCCGCACACCGTTTGTGAGTATTCCCCCTTTCCTCGAATCGAGGTTTGCCTCCTTCGATATCAATACTAACTAACCCCTGCCCATATATGTACCCAAAACCAGATCCATCCAGCTCCATTCCAAATCATGGCCGAACAGATCCTCCTCGGCTTCTTCTGGTGTTCCCTGGCTTCACTAGCCTTGGTAGCTTGGACCAGCCAATCCAATTTCTTCAATTCGATCCTTTCAATCATCCTCGAGTTTCTATCAATCTTCAAGATCTTCGGGATAGCCTTACTGGCCATCATCAGTCTCGGGATCGTCATCGTTCTATGGGAACAAGTGATCAGTAAAACTCAGCTCTGGAATAAAATCTCATCCACCTATCTCAAAACCTCGAATAATCATGCCCAGACATCATCATCTCAAGACGGGCCACAGGACGAACAACGATCGATTCTACCCATCGTCATCGTCATCGTCGGGCTGGGAATCTTCGCAATCCTCGATACTTCTTTCCTCTTACCATCCGGCCAACAGAACTCATCATCAAAACATTCTCAACATTCTCAACCTCCTCGCAACAAAAAGTCTAACCAAAACAAGACCGTCATCCAATTCTTCTCAGCTATCCTCACCTTGGCCGTCGTCGTCGGATTTATCGTGTTCAATAAGGACGAATATCGGGCTTGGAAGGCCCGTCGACGACTCTCAAAACATCACAGGCGTAGGGCTAGACAAGAACATTCTCTCAACTCGCCTCTAAGATAACCAACAAGATTCAATCCCACACAATTCCTCATCTCTTCATGATAAAAAAAAAAAACATTGTCATCTTCATCCACTTCAGTGCTGCCTCTCTATCAAAACAAGATTCTCTGCATCACATTCTCAGCTATGTGCTGACCTAACCCTCAAAATCAAATTTCTCAGGGACACTCAATCTGGTCATCTCATTTCTTCTTCCAAATCAGGAAAACTCTTATCAGTCTCTTTTTACCATCAACATCTTTCACGTGTACTTTTGGTCAACAGCTTTGATCTTGTTCTCACATTTCCATCCATTCTCAATCTCTTCAAATCAAATCAACTAAGAAACTGTACCATCTACTTCATCATTGGTCTTGTGTGTAATTTTATTATGACTGTTTCTTACCCTCATTCTGTCACTCTGTTCCTTTCCACAAATTGTTTTTTTTGGCTCTCAGGTAGTCTATTTTCCCTTTCATGTTTGTATTGGCTGTGAGTGTGGGTGTTTCCAGTTCCTCCTAACTTTCTATCCAGATTCCAAATGTATTGTTATCCTTTATTTGATTGTTTATAGAGATTTTATGAATGTCAAGTTTGGGATCTGATTAAGAGCCACTTGGATCATCAAAGCAGTAAATTCAGCAGTCAATTTTGTCACTGAATCTTCTATCTGACTCACCAAAGCAGCTGCCCTGGCCCCTAGTGTCCCTGTGAAACCTATTCCGCGGGGTAGGCTTATGCCTAAATTTTGATCCTGGGCTGATGCCACAAGGGTTTCCAAGGCCAAAGATCACAAACCCCAAAACTACAACAGAATGAACTGAAATATGAAACATTCTGAGTACAGATGATTGTAGGCTACAGCCCTTTCTAAATTTTGGTCACTCCTTTACACTTTTATGCTGCACATAGACATCATGAATACATCCAAAACATAAAAAGTAAGGAAAGGGGAAGCAAGCAATACTAAGCTCTGCTATGAATGTCTTATATCCTTATTGGACAGTGGGTAGACAGCAAAAAGTGGCTGGTTCTTTTGGATTCCAGAGCTCCAAAAGTTGGAGTCAGGAGATATGGTCAAGTGATGCAGAATAGGTCCTAAAAAGTCAAAACAGTAAATTCTAGTGCTTTACTGCAATGTGGGCTGGTGAATGCCCCACTTGACAGCTGTTTGAAGCCATCTGGAAACCATTTTTTCCACAATTTTCATTTATAATCATTCTTCTTACAGCGGTGGGCCGCTACGCTTTTGGCCCAAAAAGCGTAGTGTAGCTGCGCTTTATTTTCATCCAAAAACCGTAGTGTTAGTGGTTTTTTAGCGGTTTTTTGCTACGCTACGCTGCGCTACAGCGCTTTTGGCGGAAAAAGCGGCCAAAAACCGCTAAAAACCGCTGTAGCGCAGCGTAGTGGGCCCTTTTTTGGGGCCCACACGCGTAGCGTTAGCGGTGTCGTGGCGGAATCCTGCTACGCTACGCTAAGCGCTAACAGCAATTTTGCTGCGTTACGCTACACTAACCGCTACGGTTAGTGTAGCGGCCCACCGTTGCTTCTCATGTCCCAATCTTTCTTTCTCTCAGCACTCTCACTCCCCCGAAATGTATGTACATTGAATCTTTTGAACAAAAAATTACAAATTTTGGAAATTTGTTTTTTGTTGTTTTTTGTTTTTAATTTTTCATATTCATTTTTAGGACTTATATTCTGCACCACTTGGCCAAGTCTCATGACTTCAAGTGTGTGTTTGGGAGCTCTGGAATTTAAAATAAGCAGCCACTTTTCACTGTCTACCCACTGTACACCAAGTAATTTGAATCACAGCACTAGGAACAACCAAAATAACTCATTTGCTTACCCAAACCTGCCAGCTTTCGGCAATACTTGGATCCAGAAGATCTGATCCTGTGGATCCTTGTCTACCAAAAACTGGCATCTCACCTTTTTCAAAAACAATTTTTTCTATGTTGGCTGGTGAATCCCAAGACATGAGAATTAATTCTCACAATAGAAGGCTATGAAGATCTTTATTTTGGATCTGGGCAAGGTTTGTGGCCATTGCAGTTAATGATGGGGAAGAACCAAAAAATTTTCCACCAGACAAGGGAAGATTTCTAACTCAGCCAACCATTTGAATCTATATTTAATCTCCTTTCTGTGTCCAGGTGGAAAGAGCTACACTTTCTGTTAGGCAATGCATTTCTATGCCTGCAATGACCAAGGGAAGGGGTTTAGATAAGCAAAGCTTTTGATGCTGTTGAATTCTCTTAAAATTCTGCCAATGCCTGATCCCATGTTTTCATCCTGAAAATTGAAACTGATGACATATTTTGATTTTAGAATTTTGGTAAAAATCTCCTGATTTTTAAAAGCAATAAGTGGAATAACCTTTGTTTTTAAATTTGGACTTGAATAAGAAATTGGTGTTGGGATAAAAAATCTAATGAAAAAAGAACAATATGGGTTTTCCCTATTTGGATGGGTACTCTTTTTGTGTTGCCAAACAAGCTTCTTTCTTATAATTTTCAATGGAAAAATAATTATCTTGGTGTTGGTACCAAAAAGGCATCAAATCCATAGCAGTTCTAAAAGCTCTGAGTCTGCTAAACTTACCCTTAATATTTATAGATTTTAAGAAACAACTTTGAGCATCATTGAATCCTTGGAAATAGAGATTTCCTGAAATGTTCATTTTACCCAGAAGAGGAGGATTTTTCCCAGTATCCATGAAGATTAGATTGTAAAACCATTCAAAAAGTTCCTTGTGAGTCCTTTTTGCTTCTCCAAGAACTTTACCTTCCAGTCCAATGAGAGAAAACCAGTTGCAACAGACATGTAAAGCCTCTCCAACCTCTCTTATTTTTTTAATGGTGGCTCGGGAAGCTTCCATTGGTCCTGGATTTGGCTGTGAGAAAATCCTGATTTGAGTTGGTCTTGTAAGGTATAAAGAGGAAACAGCCTTGGTTGTTGATCCTCGAAGAACAATCAATCCTGGACTTCCAGTTGGAATTTTATATAAATCTTGAATTTCTTCTGTTTTTTGATCAACTTTATCTTGAAATTTCTTCCATTCACGGAAATCATGAATACTCTGATCTTTGAGTGCCTTCTTTGCTCTTCCCGTGAGATTGATAAGTGGATCCCCATTCTCAAAATATTTATCTTTTGTTCCTTTAATCCAGGAAGCAATATTTCCAATTCTGACTCTTTGTTCTCTCATTTCAATTTTTTCTTGATCAGAGATATCATCTTGAGAGCCAGTGTGAGTTTTAATAGGAAGAGGTCCAAGTGGATTTCCAATCATTTGGTTTTGTGTTCCAATTCCATGATCTTCATATGACTCTTCCCCTTCTCCAAAAGGCTGGTAACCAGTTTCCTTATCTGGATTATGATTTTTGGGATAAAATTTGTCTTTCAACTTTTCAGAATATTTTCCAGGAAATGTCAAAATTTCTGATCTCACCTTTTTGTACTGATTCATATGGGTTGCTGTAACTGAAACTTCTAGTGGGGAATTGGGTTTGCATAAAACCCAAATCTTGGCCCTGTACATGTCCCCATGGTGAATAAAAGAGATCATCTGCAGGCTGAGTATCTAAATGATTTCAAGATGAATGGATTTTTTATCAGAATTTGAGAACTTCCTGCCTCCAAAATTTTTCCATTAATACCAACCTTTGCCATTGAATAAACCACTGATGGAGGAAATTGCATTTGGCTGTTGTGGATCAACTTTCAATTGGTGATTCCAAACTTCACCTTGCCCCCAAAGTAAGTTGGTTCCATCATTCAAGTAATTGCTTTCTAGATCATTCAACCTTAAATTAGATGGTGATTTTGTGATGATATCTGAAAGAAAGATTCTCATAGATGAACAAGTTGAAGAAAGCAAACCTTTTTCATTAACCCAACTGCTCAGGTGTGAGGAACTGGAGGATGGTTCCAATAAATACTTGAAATTCTCACCACTTGAACTGGGTTTATCAGTATCTTGAGCCAAGGATTCTGTCAAGTACAGATTTTGAGATTCTGAGATTTTTTGGTGTTTTTGAGGCCTGAAGCACTCATCAGGAAGGTCATCAAGGCTGTGGATGTATTTAGAAGCAGTTTCCTCAGTGGGACCAGTAGAGGTACTAAATTCTAATCCTTCTCCAATCAAAGAAGCAATTGCAAAGTAAGAGCTGAAATAATAGATGATGATTTTAAGTAAGGCTGATCTAGGCATATCCATATTCAGATGGTGATTTTTCTCTTTTGAATTTATCCTTTTTATGCAATAAGGACTCAGCCCAAATTCCCACACTGTTAAGGCTTATATACAAATAATTGAATCCTAGGAATCCACAATTTCAAAGAAAGTACTGTATTGAGACATTTTTATGTTTCTTTTACTTGTCCCAGTTATTTGAAAGTGAGTCATGCTATTATACTTGTGATGATTTGTGTGAACCATTTCAGTCTCTTTGTACAACCCAGAAAAGATTTTGTTTCACATCACTGATTTTACAGTGAAGAGGTGTAAAAAGTTTCAGAACATTTGAAGAAATTAAAGCCATGAGAGGGAGAAATTTTGGGCAGAATTTTTTTGGGCAACAAAATGATTTTGTTGGAACAGCTCAAGGGACAAAAAATGAAGGAAAGAACCAATGTTTTTTTAATTATCATGTGTAATCAGTTTGTTAAATAGACTACATACACAACAATCAAAATGTGGTTTGAATAAGGAATATTCAGAATGCCACAATTACAATAATGAGAAAAAAGAAGAAGATATTTCAGAGTCATGAGTTGAAGAAAAAGAACTACTACTTAGGGTTTGTAGACTACAAAAGTGTGATCAGTCAATCAAAAAAACATGCTACCTAATACTATAATCTGGTCTCATGAAGAATGATTATGAAGAAAAAGAAAGACAGTTTTCAAGAGTTTATTTTAGGGATGAGTGGAGAAGACAGCAAAATTCCAACAGTAATAATCAAAATCTACACACAGATTGTCTGTTGGAGCATCAAAGCCTAACTTGTCCCAGATGATCTTTAGTTTGGCTCTGTGAGATGTGATGCACTGTGAAAAAATCTCAAGGAACTGCTGCCAGTTGAAATACAGAAAATCTCTTCAAAGTTGAGTTGTTACTTAGATGTTACTGAACCATTACCTCAGCTGTACTTTGATTCACAATGACTGTGCACCTTGTACAGTTACTGTGAATAAATCCTTACATTGGAATAAATTACAGTATGACAGGAGTTACATTGGGAGTACATAGACTGCATGTCAACTGTCACCAGTGTAGTGAGATCTTTTCTCATAGTGATGGTGAGGTCCACATGAATGTGTATTGATGGTAGAGGAATTCACACATGTACTGGAGCTCATGAAGGGGAAAACTGTACTCACTACTGCCATTTAGGGGGAATACTTAATTGATTTATTATAAATCTGTTACAAAACACCAAACAGGTCTTTGTGACTCAAATGAGAATTGAACAGAAAATTACAGAGAAGATAATTATGTGTAATCACAAAAAAAAAGGTAGGAAAAAATTGAAAGTCATCAGGAAAAATCAATGCTCACTATGATGCCAGGTGACATCATGGAACATTTATTGCTGCTCCCATCATGTAGCTCCAGCTCTGTTGTGATCACACCCGACTACAATGGCCCCTTTGTGTGCTACAGGGGGCTGAGACAGATTTGAGCTGGATATGTACACCATGGGGCGGGTTTTTAGAAAAACCCCCCAGCAAACGGATGGATTCCGTCCCGAGCGCCCGCAACTTGGTTGCGAAGCATCCAACGGACGCTCGGGCGGGCCTGGCATCATTTGGACGCTTCAGAAAGCGTCCAAGGGATGCTTGGCAGGCGAGACCATCCAGAGGATGGTGTACAGCCCGGTGTCCATCGGACACTTGATTGGGAGTGTCCAATGGACAACAAGAAAACCATCAATCGGACACTTCTCAGAGTGTCCGATTGATGGTTTTCACCCGGGTCCGGCAGTGGAAAAAAAAGGGTCGATTGTCGAAAAATTATTCAAAAGGTGGTCGATGGTCGAAAAACGATCCAAAAATGCAGCGCGGGGTATCTAGTTGACTCTTTGACCAGTGGAATATCAAGAATCTAGTATAGTCCAGTGGCAAGGTACTGCCTCTGTGGAGTTACTGGAGGCAGCACCTGGAGGTCATGGGTTCAAACCCAGGCCTGGCATTTTTGCCCCCAAGGGCTTCTAATCCTACCATCCGATGGATGGTTTGGCCCTACCATCCAGGTTCAGCAATATGCAAGTCGCATCCAATGGATGCTCCTTGCAGGGCCAAGGTCGGATGGCATCTGGTACATCCGATTGGGTGTCCAAATGCCATCCACCACGCCCGGTGGTGTAATCACTAGTGTACACTGAAGTTGGCTTGCTGTCACTTGTCACCAAGCATTCATTGTTTTTCTCTGAGTGCATGTAGAAGAAGAAAGCAAATTTCAAAATTTTTGGCTAGATAAAGCATAAAATTTCAGTTAAGATAATAAATGAAAGATGGAAATAACAAAGTAGTAAGACAGAGTATTACCTAGATAAAGCAGGAAACATGTTGTGGATGAAAAGATAAGAGAGGATAAGAAACGATACTGTTGATAACTAGGTTAAAAGACTTTGATAAAATGAACGACTGTTAGAGCTTATACACGGTTAAGAGAGTAAAGGAGAGAAGAAGATATGAACCTATGAAGACAAGCCTAAACCCAGATGAAGAGATCCCTGACGAAGTTGGAAACCACGAGACTGACAAAGTTAATGGTGGTTTGAAAGAGGAGAGATTATAAATGATAAGATGATAAAGTAGGTTGTGACCAAAGTGGTTGAAGAAGTTGATAAAAGATGATCTTTGAAGTAAGGTCAAGATGGTCAACAGGTAGTAAGTAAACAGGATGGGCAACAAATTGAAAAGAGAAGGAAAGGAAACAACCAAGATCAATGAGAAACAACAAGCTGTGTAAGATCACACTATGATGACATCACAAGATGTATGCGCGCCATTGAAACCAGATTTCAACAAAATTGAGCTTAAAAGTGTTAGCTCATTTTTGCTACACTACGTTGTGCTACGAGCAGCTACAGGTCCAAAAAAAAAACAGCTGACCAGCGTGTTAGTGCAGTGTAGCGGGCCCTTTGTTGGGGCCTGCACATGTAGTGTTACAAGCAAAGACCTGGCATGAAAATTCTGCTACAGTACACTAATTTTTAAGCAGACTTTGGCTAAGCTAATCTTTGGCCCATTGTTGATAGCAGGGTTCACGATTGAAATCTGTCAGATTTTAGAGCCCATCCATCTTAAGGTGTTTATAATCAACCCATTTTTCATCAATTGAAAACTTGGCCAGAGTCTTCAGAAAACCCCACCCAGAACAGCTCACCTTGTAAAATGATTAACACAGTGTTGATAAACGGCTCATTTATAAGATGGACTCTAAAAAAATGATCAATGTCAATCATGAACCCTGCTAATCACTATTCTTGATTTGTCGGTCTGGTTGCTAGGTTTGAATTAGATTATGTAAATAGATTGAAGAAAAGAAGTGAATCAAGAGTGTCAACACGGTTTTCTGCTGGAAAGAAAGAAACAAGACAAGAGACATAAAGAAGATGAGTAGTGTGTGTGAAGGCTAAGGTGAGTCAAGTTGAGAGCGAGACAGAGGGAAAAGCTTGATATCGTGTGTATTTTTATATTTAGTCAAATCATTATATTGTGTGGAACTTAATTACCATCTGTAAGATTGAGGAAGGATGTTGAAAATATGATATTTTAATTTTATGCTGGATAGTGGAGCTAGACTAGATGACGAGGTCCTACAGTCATATATGTTAGATTGAAGCAAGTAAGAAGCAGGAGAACAAATCGACGACGATAAGGAGGAGGACTTGGAGAAAGGAAAGAGGACAAAGAAAAAAAAACTAACACAAGATAGTCGTACAACAAAATAACAACAACAACAACAGAAGAAGAAGAGCCCAAAGACGAAAGACAATAACGATCGTTCATGATTATATGTTCACTAATCAATGGAATAAACTCTTGTAATGGAAATAAACATGCATGTATAGATATATGATACTTTTTTCAAAAGGAGAATCGAGAGAGAGAGAGAGAGAGAAAAGGGTGATATATGATAAAAAAAAAAGAAAGAGTGCGACTCTAGAGAAAAAGAAAAGGACCGGATTAATTCCAATCGGATTCCCAAGGTTGAACGAGAGTAGCACCAGCAGGAAGCGGCAAGCCGACGCCGTCGACGGTAAGCGCATGATTATCACGATGTTTACCGGCAGAAGAAGACTTGACGAGGGCGGTGATAGAGGAAGAGGAGGAGGAGGGATGAATCGGCAGAGCGGAGGAGGAAGAGGCAGCAGAATTAGAAGAAGACGAGCCGACGAGTTTATGGGTGGTCTTCTTCAGCCATTTCTTCCCTCTCCTAAATAATCGCTCCTCATTCTGTAAGACTGTTGCTTCTTCTTCACCTAATAATCGAGCATTCGAGGTGATGGCCTTGGCCAATCTGGAGAAGATTTCTTGGTTGGAAGGTGAGTGAGTGGATTGTTTAGAGAGACTGGAGGAAGAGGTAGAGGAGGATGGACGTAAGGAAGCGGCGAGAGAGTTATGGCTCGAAGAACAAGAAGACATCCGAGCGACGGTGTGAATCTCGTGTAGGGAGCAAGCGAGCGAGGCGAGTTTGACGGGCAGGAGGACGTAAGGTTTGGGGAGATGGATGGTTTGCACGGGTGGCGAGGGGAGACGACCGTTTTCGACGGAGCTTCGCCGACCGAGGACCGCCGAGCTCTGGCGCCGACTCCGGGCCAGTCCCTCGCTCCGACTCCATTGACTCTCCCCGTTCCCGGCGATCAGCTCTAGTACCAGTCGCACATTCGGCCGGTCTCCTACCGTCTCCGTAAACACCACACTCATCCCCATCCGCCAACTGCCTTGTCCGGAATCCTCCGCCTCACTCACGTCTAATGGGCCCGGCTCAATCTGCGAGTTCCCATGCCTTAATGTTGTACAAAAAAAAACAGAGGAGCATGTCGGGATTAGTTCGATTTTTCCTGCTAAGAAAAAAAATAAGAAACTGCTCTTCTTACCACATCAAATATGTCAACAATCGATTCCCACTCCATGCCTCGATAGCGACCAAAGCATGAGTAGAAGTCTTATGATGATCGACGGGATCGGTGTAGTTTGAGAGACGATAGCGTCGGCCAACTGGCCGGAAGAGTTGAGGGGCTGATCGATCGATATGACCCTGGCCCGTATTTCACGCCTTCGGCGACCGACTCGGGCGGGCTGGGATTAGTCCGAAAGGACTCGGAGGATAGCCGGCTGACGGCCTCAGGACGGGAATGCTCTTCGGCTTCGATGGGCGATGAGGTGATGGTGTGGGCGGGAACGGAGCAGGGAATGGTGAGGGCTAGGCTTCCTTGGCCGTTTGATTCTTCCTGTTCTCCCTCTTCTTCTCCTTCTTCTTCCTCTTCTTGATCTTCATCACTATCTTCTTCTTCTTCTTCTTCTTCTTCTTCTTCTTCTTGGCTCTCTATAGAAGGGAAGGGCAGGCGGGGCTCCTCCTGGTCGGCCGCAAATTCGTCCGAGAACGGATCTGACTCCTGGGCGAGCGAATCAGTGAGCCCATCAGGCTGATGATCGCTGTCGCCGTTTGGAGAGGGAGGCCTAATGATGATCGAGGAATGGGGCGTAGTGGATTGACCAGGATGAGGGGACGATGATCGGCGAGAGTGATGGGCGGGTGAGTGATGAGGACCGGGGACCGGGGGGAGCGGTCTCCCATAGGTCGGACGGGGGCAGAGGGACTGGAGACTAGGTTGGGGAGTCAAGGAGAGAGTGGGTGATGGAGAGCCTTCGTTGGAGGAGGGCGGTATTGAGGCGGGTGATGGAATCGATTGGGGTAGGGCTAGGGTTGAGTAGGGTGGTGATGAGCATGATGGGGATGGTTGATGATCATGGGCTTCTTGGGGTTCGTCTATGGAGTGATACGAGGGTGGTAGCTCTGGTTGGATCTATACAGATAGGATATCAGGGCTAGAGTCAAGCTGGCTGTGAATGTACTTTGGGATGACTTACATCTTCTTGTGCTCGGGTATTGTTTGGTGAACCGGAGGACTGGGGCGAGTGAGGTTCAGGAATGGTTTGATGATGATGAGATGATGATGGTGATGGTGATGGTGATGGTGAGGATGAATCGAGGCTGAGTGCCATTGCGAGTTCGATTGCCAGTCTTTCCTCGTCTTCATTCTGAGGGGTGAAGGGACCTTGGTTCTGTATTGATTGGAGTAGTTGTGAGTGTTGGATGACGAGCTCTAGTTGAGCCTGTTCGGTCTGCTCTAGTAGATGGAACCTGGCTCGTTCTAGTTTCTCTGCTGCCTCTGATTCGATTCTGACCCTCTCTAGTTCTTCTGCTTCTCGCCTCTCGAGTTCTTCCTGATGACGACGATAGTCTTCCTCGGAGGCAGCCAGGATCTTGGCGAGTTGATCGGTTTCGGATTCTTTTCGGCTGAGGGTTCTGTTGGTTGGATTGCTAGTCGTCCTTGTTGGTGCTGCAGTTGGATGTGGAGCTGTTCTTCTGCTGTTTGATGATGAGCTGGTTTGATTGATGAGGGGCATGCTAGTTGTTGTTGTTGTTGTTGTTGTTGGTGATGTGTTGGTGTTGAGACTGAGTGAGGATGGTCGATGGCTGATCGATCGAGGTAGCTGTAGCAAGCTGGTGTTGTTGTAGTGGCAGTGCTGTTGCTGTTGTTCTGGCATGTCGACTCGCTGTTGATGTTGTTGTTGGAGTGTGTTTGTTATTATGTTATTTTTGCTTGGCGTGGAATCCATGGGTTGAGTTAATGTCACTAGTGGGAGAGTTCAGTTGACAGTCAGCTGGCCAGTGATCAGTTGGAAATATTCATGAGTCAGAGAAACTTACTTTAGAGTACTCGGATGAAGAGTTCAGTCATATGGGGGCAGCTCCAGAAAATCGATCTTAGAGTCGCCCAATCTTCAGCTCCGTCGTGACCGCTGCTCATCAAGTCAGCGCCTCGACTGGGATCGAGCTCAGTCAGTCGAAAATCAAGTGCCGATTTCAATCGAAAATCCCTGCTGACAAGTTATAAGCGAATTTTGAAAACACCAAACTTACACGGCAGGAGCGATCGATGAAGATGCAGAGTGTCGATGGGTCGTCTGTGATGGATCGACGGCGAGGAACCCCAAGATCACTGCCCGTTTACAGTCCAGGTCATATTTCCGTGATTAGGCCCCTTCGCAGACTGTCTGAGTCTATTGTACAGCTTCAGAGAAGACGGAACCACAGCCATCCGACGGCAGTGTCGCTTGCCAGTCAAACAGGTCCCTCTTCAGATCACCTTGCTGGCAGTCACCCCACCTTGGTCACTGTGCCCGACGCCCTCCTGTGATTGGGTTGGTTCTCTTATGAGACGGCTTCACCGCCGTGAAATTGCCCTGACTTCGGCGGTCCAATCCATCTATCCACATAATTCACTTCCCTAACGACTTTGCCCCCGTGAATTGGACATCAGCCGTCCGGCTACGAGAATAGCCCCATTCCCCTCAGTTACACCCATGACCCAACTTAATGCTGGCCCCTATATCGGCCCAACCGAGCGGATATTGACACCCTGTCTCTGATTATAAAGATCACCCTTTCTCTCCCTGTTTGCTCCATCCAGCCTCTGTGTTTGCTCGATCCACTGCGCCCTTGTACAAGAGTCACATTGACCTCTGCTTTCCCTTCTTCCTTTGATGAAGCCTCCTGCCGGCCTTTCTAAGGCCTTGCCCCAGTTTCCATCTGTATTAGACCCTGTAGCTTTGCAAGTCGAATTGGTTACTTGGTCCCAGCGTGTGCAATGGGCCCACACCCAGCTTGTGCCCCATATGCGCAGTTACGAGGCTCTTTTCCAGTACATTGAACGCACTCATCTTAATGAGCATTTCAATATCTTCTTGTTTGGGATGTCCATTTCGGATCGCAATAAACTGATGGCCTCTTTACTTGAGACCTTCATGGTAGGTGCTTGGTTTCTAAGTCAGATAATTGCCAAACTGATGATTGCCTGGTATTGCTCTAGCACATTTATACGCTCAATTGGCCAATCGGCCCATTGGACGACCCATTGCCTAAATTGCTTATTGAGTTCGCAATGCCCAGAGTGGTCAGTCTTGCCACTCTTGTTCAGGTTGATATGTGGTAAACTGACTTGTATCGGTGCAGCTTTACACCAGCTTGGAACAATATTATCTTCGCAAGCAGCCGGCCCCATTTGTCATGGGGGATACGTTGACCGGGGTTGTTTGCCCGCCTCTCGCGCACTTCATGGAATTGGACGATGAGGACAAATTGGACGCCGATGGCCCACCTCCCACCAACTCATTCGAGCGGCCCTCAGCCAAAGCAGGCATTTCGCAGCCCATTCCCAATGGCAGCCAAGAACGCTCTCCCACCTCGCCCACCGAGAGCGAGCTTGCTTTGGCCGTTCAAACGCTGGCCCCCAGTTCGACTTCTGACGAGACGACAAACATTAGCAAATCCACCGCCGGCAAATTAATTGTACTCATGCGTGGGATTCTTGATCGTAGTTCGGCACAACAAGCGTGGTTCAACTCGCAGAAGAAAAACGACCACAAGCAGCTTTGCAAGGCCCTACTTGCCGAGTCCCACAGGCACGACCGTGAGGTGAATCAGTTACTGAGTCAGCACCATTACCGACTGAAGGATCAGGATCTCCAATACGCCGACGCTACCAACGAGATCAAAAAGTTACAATCGGCTGTTGCGCAAATGGCGGACGACTTAGACCTTCCTCATGAACCACTCAACAACATGTAGACCGTCTTGACTTATTCAAATCTTCTTTCATTCTGCTACTTGCCTTGAACCTCTTCCCACATTTGTTCCGGTGGATTGTCATCCACTCCATCACCTACCCCTCCCCCTCTCCGCAGTCTTTGAATGTGTCTGTATAGTATTAACTCTCCAGCTTTACCCTTGTTTTGATGGTGCCTTCTTGTTGACGTTAAAAACATGGTGATTTGGGTGGCTCCTCACCCAATAGTTCAAGAAAATTTGGCTATTCTCTTGACCTCAATATGTTTCCAGCCGGTCACCGATCTATGTAGTTACCTGTTCCCCTGACTCAATCAATTTCTGCTGTTTGCTGAGACAGTATGTTACTCACGTGAGACATTGGAAATGGGGCCATCCTCTACTGTGGAGTAGTTTAGCAGACTTCCTCATCCCGAACACCAGCATGTTGCCATGCTTGACCAGGACTGGCACAACTGGACTTCCTGCAATGAAATTGAGTGCCTTGCCCATTTTTGACAGTAATTGGTGTGTGCGTGTTTGGCATCACAGCCGACTGGCATTGCTTAATTGGCAAAGTGCTAAGGAGCCAAGGGGGAGATCCTCATCTCAGAGGAGATTGGGCAATTGGAGCTTGGGGGTGGATGTGGTGACAGACTTCTGCCAGGCTTGGAGTGGAATCCACATCTGTCAACAACACTCACCCGGCCCTAACCAGCTCATGGTCTCTGCTTCGATTGGGATGGAACACGACTTTGCCCGATTACCCCAGGAATTGGATGAATCACTCGTAGGCCACCAGCCCAACCTCTCCAACATTCTGTATCTCAACACTCAAAACTCGGAATATCTTCCGTCTTCTCAGCACATGCACGCAGTGGAAGATTTTGTTGCCCGCCAAGCCGATTCAACTCTCCCACAGTCAACATCAGGAACAGTCCCAAACTCTGAGCTATCTTGAAATGAGTATGTGGTGCACTATGCACCATCAGTCCCTGATGGAAGCAAGCCATCAAGTGCCCCTACCAGTCGAGAGCTCAAGCGCCGTCGTTTGCTAGTCACCCAGGTGGAGCCAGGTACCCTTGCGGCTTGGCAAAACTTCCAGCATGGTACCATTCCCCCACATCCCATTGGCAGTCCTACTTCACCAGATGCAAAGACAACCCAATTCCTGATGGGGAAACCAGTGAATTCATCGGCAAAACCTGCTGAGTTACCTGCGAAACCCGCCGACTTACCTGAAAAACCGGCCGACCCGGCCGACTTACCTGCAAAACCCGCCGAGTCGCCTGAAAAACGAGACGAGTTACCTGGGCAACCGGACAAGTCACCTTCAGAAACTCGATTCACGGACAATCAAAATCGGGCGTTGATTTCTTGGTTTCATCATGTTGTCTGGAATCATTCCCAGAAGGATTGCCTATCTCCCAGATGGATGCCTTTTGATGAGTACCTCGAAAAACATTACAAGATTGAAACTTACAACCCGTCCTTGGTCGATTTTACACTGGAACAAAGGAAACAGCAGTACTCACGCCTCTGGCAGAAGTTCATGGTGAGTGGCCAACTGGTGTCATCTGGTCATCCTAACATGCTGACATCCTATTCACTTCACTCTCAGATTGTTCGAAACCGTGCCGAGTTGCCAGGAATTGAGTTGAATCAACTACTGAGTGAAAACGGTCTTCCCCAATCAGTAAGTTTGTAACCATGTACACTTGTCTCCAGCGACCTTGTTCTGATGTGGATTCATTCAGCTTTATTGGCCACTGGTGGATTTGTACTGTGGAACCAAACCCATGAGACCGGTGTTGGGTGATGGTCCCGACTTTGCACACAGTGAGGATGAAGAGAGCTTTCAGAATGCAACGACTCCACAATCCAATCCGGCCAAGCCACCACCACCAACCACGAAAGCCAAAACCCGCACCATTTCACACACCAACAATGTCCTTCCAGTCGTGGAGGTGGGCGAGACCTCAAACGCCCCGGCGCCCGGGTTCATCCCGGTGCATGTTCCGTCAGCCAGGGCACCTTCTGACTTGCTCACTTCCCTTCAAACACTGGTGACTCAATCAGAAAAGGACACAAGTTCGGCGGAGGCCCAATTCCACGAGGCTTGCTTACTATTTTCTAGACGGCAAGTTGAAGAGCATCTCCGCCATCATGAAGAACAGCGCATCCACCATGTGAATATGAAGAACCTCTTCAGCAATCATCTGGAGGCCATTGTGAAACATCAACATGCTCGCGACAATGCCAATTCACAAGCAATCCGGTTTCGATCCTCGCTGAGCACCCTGATGTCTCAATTCTCAGGCCAGTCCGATGGTTCTACCAGTAAGACAGAGTGAGGCTGCTTGTTGGTCTCTTATAAATACTCGCATTTATCAACAACACCTAGTTAGCATATACACAGATTAAGATAAGATTGTATCAACAGAAATAGTACAATTGATAATTGGTGACGACTAATATTAATAGTTAAAAAATTGATTCTGGTAATGGGCTGTTTTTCAACCAATAAGATTGTGGTGAGTAGGTGAATTATTGTAGAACGGGTGGTCCATCAAGCGTAAGACCCCGTTGACATTGAAACAATTCTCATGTATTACACCATGTCTGAAGGCCATTGTTGATGGCTGTGTTCCATTGATCAGGCTTGATTGGCGCAATTGACAAAGATGCAAGTTGGCGGTGAGACTGGATAGAACGTGTTGGAATTTCATCTCTTTTTCTCCTCATCCCTAAAAAACTAATCTATCTCACTGTTAAATTAAATAGGAATTGATAAATAATTTACATGATTTTTATCTTGTTTTTGATAGTTTCTGCGTGATATTTTGTTAAGTTGTCTAGTGCTGAAATCCTTGTAGTCTTCGAACCCTGGTCTAGTCTTTATCAACCAACTCTTATTCCAGTCATCTTTTCAAGCATATTTTAATCTGTCTTATTCATTTTGATATTCATTTTTTCTCAACCACATGTTTGACCTCTTGTATGTAGACTATTTAACGCGTAGTCTCCTCTAAGTAAAAACCACATTGGCTCTCTCATTCTTTTCCCGACCCTTGAGTCAGTCCAACAAAATTCATTTTTGTTGCCCCCAAAATTTTCCTCTCAAAAAATTCTCCTCGTCTTTGGTAAGAATTTCTTCACGATTAACAGTCGAAAGACCTGTTACAACAATCTCTCCCTCTCATATCCGAAGATCAACATCAACATGTCGACTGAAGTTATCCGCGAAACCAAAGTTCTCTTAACTCCTCTCAATTATGCCCTCTGGTTGTTGCCGATGGAGGCAAGACTCTTTAGACTGAAACTTCTCAACATCGTCAAAAGTGAAGTTGAACCAGACGAAAAAGAAAAAGAATCTTGGATGAAACTCAACAACGATGCGTATGCCGAAATCATTGCGTACATCGGTCAAGAAGTCCTCGGATTCGTCAGCTCTGCTTTGCCTGTAACCCCTCGCTTCAACGGACGGGGTATCTGGAAACTTCTGAAATCTCAATATGCCGGTGATGACTTGACCTCTCAAACGACCGCCCTCGATCAATTCCTTCATCTCAGCTTTTCTTCAATCGCCACTTTTATCCCCGCCGTTCGATCAGGAAATCAGAAGATATCCATGTCGGGTCTTGTTCTGGACGATCGAGTCCGAACCATTCTCATGCTCAAGAAACTTCCTTCCGATTACCGTTCTTTCCGCGACATCGTCTCGATGAACTACGGCTCCGAATCGTTTGAATCCGTCATCAAGAAGCTTGAGAGCTATGTAGCTCAGAACGATTTAGACAAAAAACCTACGGTATCGTCGACTCCGTTACAGTCACTTCTCACTCGATCGAATGATCAAGCCTCGGCGAGCTCAACAGTTTGCGATCACTGCAAGAAACCAGGCCATCGCGTCAACAACTGCTGGGTCAAATACCCTGAAAAAGCCCCGAAGTCACACACAGCCCACATGACCGTTCAAGACAACTACAACCAACTCAACGATCCAACCGATTTCTCTCACTTCAGAACAGCCGACGGCAAGCTCCATCACGTCGACGAAATGAGGTTTGAAGGCGTTCAATACTTCTAATTAAAAACCATCCTCAGTTTTTTATTCCTCACCACACAAGTTTTTTCTTTCATTCTAAGGTTTTTTAGGCCTGAGTAGCGGGGGGTGTTGGAATTTCATCTCTTTTTCTCCTCATCCCTAAAAAACTAATCTATCTCACTGTTAAATTAAATAGGAATTGATAAATAATTTACATGATTTTTATCTTGTTTTTGATAGTTTCTGCGTGATATTTTGTTAAGTTGTCTAGTGCTGAAATCCTTGTAGTCTTCGAACCCTGGTCTAGTCTTTATCAACCAACTCTTATTCCAGTCATCTTTTCAAGCATATTTTAATCTGTCTTATTCATTTTGATATTCATTTTTTCTCAACCACATGTTTGACCTCTTGTATGTAGACTATTTAACGCGTAGTCTCCTCTAAGTAAAAACCACATTGGCTCTCTCATTCTTTTCCCGACCCTTGAGTCAGTCCAACAAAATTCATTTTTGTTGCCCCCAAAATTTTCCTCTCAAAAAATTCTCCTCGTCTTTGGTAAGAATTTCTTCAGAACGTAATGATGATGAGTTCAAGACAAACCATTGGTCATCTGAATGTTGGATCGCTTTTCTGCAGGGCGAGCCCTCCAGGGGGCCGGTCGGTGGGTCCGTGCTGGGAGCAATTGGACATTGAGCAGAAGCGCAGTCATGTTGAACGTTAAGACAAGCTTTTATATCCTACAAGGAGGGTCACTATGATTAGTTAGAAGTTGTTGGATGATGGGCCTGGTTAGAGAGTTGGCTCACAAAGACTGAAGCATATCTTGTCTCGTGAATGTTCTGGAGGATCCTCATGTTGTAAAACATGTTGACACCCCCAAGCTGAAATGTCGTTGTCTTCATGACATATCTGGTCCGATTATCCCATTCAATCTGCCACAAAGAATTGACACGCCCAATGAACTGGTCCCAAACAATCCCACCTGGGGCAACCTGTGTGGATTGAATTACAAATGGTCAGCAAGGAACTGTGACATTTGAAATTTGTTGCATGAGTGAACTGACCAGCACAAAGTAACCCTTCTTCACTATGTCCTTTTCGCTCAATCTCAGCTGCGAGATCTGCTTCACACGTGCGTTGGTGTACTGGTTGAAGTAACTCGGAACGTTTTCCTTGTCTGCCATGAGCAGCGGTGATTGCATTACCACTGGGAATGTTTGCGGAGGACACACCAACATAGGATTGTATCCCATCGATTTTTGGATAAGCGGGTTCTGGAAAAGCTTGGTGACTTCATCGGAAGCATGAAAAGACATGCCAGTGGTGTGATTCTTCAGCTGGGCTTTGGACACAACGAGTCGCAGGGCATGGAAGTTGAGAAACGAGAGGCCCAAATCCCTCCCAGGGCGATGTCGGTTTGAGTGGACGGAAGCATTCCGGAGGATGCTGTTAAAGCTTTCGAATTTCTCAGTGGCAAAAAGACAAGCGGGTCCAAATCGCTCAATAGATTCGGGAAGATGCTGTAACATGTGGAATTTGGGCTTATTGACCCATTGCGCATTCATATTGATTGAATGCCACATGAATATATCAATCTGGTTCCTTAATTCGACCAAATATCGCTTCATGTTGGTAATGCGTGTTTCAAATATGTAAGTCGCCAGTTGACCAAGAGAGATCCAATGCTGACGCTGAGGTTCACTCATGAACGGGTACATGACAAACGGCGCTGTTTGAATTATAATCTTGAAGTCCTTGCCAACCAACGAGGAAAAGTGCTCCACAAGATATTTGGATTGAATCGAAGAGATATTCAGCGAATCGATGTTGAATGACTGCCAGGAGGCCAGAACTTGTTCCAATTCTTTGACCTTTAAGCTTTTCATAAAATCTCGAGTCATGTATTTGACTATCCCCAGGAGGAAGACATGCAAGATTTCCACTGGAGTATCTTGGCATCCATCAAATCCTACACAATTCCCACCCAGATGGAATTGGTATGAGTATGGTGATTCATCTGGTGCGCACAATTCTAAAACTCTGCAAGAAGCCTGACCTTTTAGCTTCAAAAACGAATTAAATAATCGATCACCATCCTTTTGCGCCAATTCGTTGACCTCATCGTGGGCTGCTACATCATCTTTCCTCTGCATGACCTCCACAAACTGCCGATTGATGCTATCACGAATTCCAATCTCTTTGGTCTCATTGTCAAAATGAGTCTTGACACCCTTTTTCCCGATTTCCCAGAGATTTTCCGTCTGCGATTTGATTTGATCCCACGTGCGACATGCTGGCGAATTCTGTGGAGTGGGCCTGATCACTACTCAGGAGAGATCATCTGTCATGAGAGCAAGGAAAATGGCGTACGTGATTACCGAATGCATCAATGTGCAAAAAGTCTCGCACATATTTTTCGGTCTTTTTTCCCTCCATAGTTGGGGTGTGGAGACAACACATGCGACATGGATTCAGACTGACGTTTGGCAAAGGGGTATTCGTGATCTCGGCATGCATGGGTGAATCTGCTTGAAAACACAACACCATGCTCATAATGAGCACATCTTCCCCCAAAGAAGAATCGTGTGCGACCCGCCCATCGGTTGCAAGCATGCTGAGCAAAAGGAAACATGATGTGTGTGAATTACATTAACTGTCCACTCAAACCAATGAAGTCTATCTGCTGACTTGATTTCCTCGACAATCTGTTCGCCAAGTTCCAACACCCCTGCTTCATTAGACGTGGACAGGAAATGGCAATTATATTGCATATTTGACAACTTTGGAGGCAGCCCGGCAAGGGTGAAGTAGAAAGAGATGTGGCGATTCCACTTCTTGGATACGTTGCCAGAGGTATCGTCCGCATAGAGATTTATGGGCATATGGCGTATTACTTTCCCTTGAGCCTTGGTGCGCCATGGATTGGGCAAGTTATGAGCAACAGGCGGATCGTTCAAATCTCATGAAACCAAGCAAGAAGTCAACATTTGAACCCAAGGGCAGAACACATTGATTGACTCACCTAACATCCGGTGGCTGCACAACTCAGCCAGAGGCCGATTGTTTCCGAACATAATCTCAGGATAAGGTTGATCCAACTCCAACACATTGAGATCGATGAGGGCATCCGAATCAAAGACAAGATCCTGGGGGATGTGAATTGTGACACTCGGAGGGAAATTGGTATGAACTACCTCTGGTATAGCACACTTGGCATACATTCCTGAGCCCGATTTGTAAAAGAAGACAGGAACAACCATTCGTCCAGTTCTTTCAAGCGCGGGTTCGTAAATATAATAATGCTTGCTTCGGCTCGCAATCATCTGCACTCGGAGCTCTGGTGCTAGCTCTTTGAGCCACTTCTTACTTTGGGAAAATTTGTAAATTGCCGAGTCGCCAGGGGCCTCCGGGACAAAATCCACATGTGGGTTCACGTAAGGATTGGATACTTCCTACTTAACATAAGCACCACCCGTTAGCTTCCATCACCAAAAATCAGCAGGCTTTCCCACTCACTCCGGAGAGAATTTGTCCTACGCTTAGTGCATAACACTGCTGCTTCCAGACCGTCTGTTTCTGGCGTAATTTGAGGTTCAACATTGACCGAATACTCTCTCTGGAGCGTTGCAGTGTCGTCCAATGTGGGAGTCTGACGGCAACGAGAGTCAGGATGAGCCTGATTTGGTCATACACCTCACGGCTCATGATGTGGTGCATATATCCAACAAATAGCGAGGCAATTAAATACTGCCTTCCATATTGGTTAAAAAACGACTGCTCTACTGACTTCATGGGCCAGATGAACAACAGCTAAAGGATATTTACTTACCTCCTTGTTCTTGAATGGGTACCACGACATATTTTCGGAGGACGGCGTGGGCCTTTTGAGGAAGTCAGTCGAAATAGGCTCATCGCTCAACTGATTCATTGCCTCAAAGAGGTAATTGTCCCAGTCGATTTGATCATCGGTGCCCCCTGGTGTATGATCGGTGCCACTGAATGGAGATGAGTCATTGATGTCTCTGACCGTCAACCACTCATCCTCTGAGCCATTATCGGATCCCTCAGGATTGAGACCAATGGCATCAAACACCAGCTCATCTGGTGCTTGATTCTCAATACCGGCCGGCATATTCCCAGGGGCCCCGTGGCCATCTGGCGGTGGGATAAACGCCGGATTCCCAATACGCCTTTCATGCCTCTGCTGAAGCATTTTTTGGTGCATGGCACTTCGGGTGTGGTCACGATAGCTTCGTGTGGCTGCCCTACCAACGCATAGTTTACACCGGTATCTGGTGTCGCCCACGGCCCCTCGGATGATCGTAAAGTCTCATGGGGCCAAGTGATTACATTTGGTCAGTTAAACTCATTGACAACCTCAATGAAAACTTCACATACCATCTAAATCCGACATCATCACAGTGAATCAGACCTCAAACAAGCAACCCAAGAAAATCAAAACCGACCCAAGCAACCCAAGTCTGGATGGCCTTTCAAATGGCTGTTGTTTTGATGGCCCAAATCCCAGCCTAGTCCGCATTTGCCTCACACACCCAAGCTTGGATGTGATCAAACAAGTAAAGATTGTTCAATCTGGCCACATTCCTTTGGCCTAGGCCCTTATTCCTTCAATTCCTTCTCAACCCCTGTGACCTAAGATGACACCACCGCATCTTAGAACTGTTGAAAAGTTAAACCCGATGATCCCCAAAGACCGGGTCATTTCAGAAGAGGGCCCCTTGGCCTTGATTCCATTGGTGACTGAGGGATCACACACCGCTTGCCTCCCTGTTCACAATATGTGGCCATTTGGGCAAGGTCATCTGACAAACTGGCTCCATCAGATCTGAGAGCTGTCCATAGCATGATAACAGGTGGGGGCTTGGATGAACCTGATTCCTCATGTGAACGTGCACTTCTTGATGAGTGCCAAGTTTTCCAACCATGCTTGGTGAATCGGCAAAGTGACGACCTTGGAATATTGACCGTCCATGGCCGGCCGATCAGTCCGAGATGGGGACCAGATCACCAAAGCCCCCCAAGGATGAGGTGATTCCTCTTTAATGATGAATATCCGATGGCCACTCTGACCAGTCAGGTGTGAAAGCTGAAGAGCTTGACCGGAACCCCAGTGTGTGACCAGGAGATGAAATCGTTCGACTTGTCCAGGGTCAATAATGGATATAAGACAAGAGGCGACCCTTCACCCAAGCGGTGATTCATCCTCTTGTCCCTCCCTCCACTCCCACCAACCTTTGGCATTTCTTCCCACTGCCACTATCCGTGCAAGTATTTTGCCCGAGTTTTTCTTAGTGGTGTCAACTGTGCACCATCATCTTTCCCTGCCTTGCACTTTTAACCGTGTCCTGAAGTCATTGGTTGGGTGCGACTGGTCCAAGTGCCGAATTTGGCTTGCTCACTGCCTCTTCCTTGCCCTGCCCCTGTTCTATTGTTGAATCGACTTGAACGAGATTCTGATTCCTGCCATGTCTGGATCGCATCGCGCCGAGCAGGCCCCACGGGCCCCGAGCCAAGGCAGCGCCGCTAACGGCGTTAATACTGTTTTGAGTCGCATGTCTCCTAACAGTCTGTACAGTTCCCTCAAAAATAATCACCCCGCTGGTGCAATTATGATGCTTATATTGCCTCAAATTGCAGATCGATTCAATCCACTCGGTTCTAACGGTCGTGTAAATTTGTTGCTTTCCCCTCAAGAGACTGGGCACAGTTTGTCCTCTGCTGCAATCAATCCGAATATGTTTCTCCAAGGCAATGCCACTGGGGCGGGCGCCAACACAACTGAACTTGCGCGCAATCAACACCCCGGCCTTGAGGAAGATGTCATGGACGTTACCGAGGGCCATGAGGGCAATGGTAGCAGGGGTGGTGTGGCCACTTCTAACCTTTTTGGGCAAGTTCCCGAAGAACTGATGAGGAGATTGAGCTTGGATGACGATGCTAGTTCCCTGGTTCGACAACTCAGCGAGGTGAGTCCTCCCACCTGTAGACACTCCCTACCACAACCTACAGCCACTAACCCAGTGAACAACTGGCTGTTCCATTACAGGTTCGGCCCGAAGACCAATGGATTGTGTCTATTGCCCTCCTGGTGGCCAACCTCTCCGGTGCTCACCTCATACAAGGTGAGCCGGCCAGGCCACGCGAGATTGCTGGTGCTGTTGAGGTGGTCCCTGGACCCTTCAATTATGTTCAAACCATACGTGTTAGTCACCCATTCCTCTTATTTGGGGTGGTCTCACGGCCCAACCCAACTGACCGCACCCCATACAGACCTTCCTGCGTCGTAGGATTCGTGATCTTCTCACAGTTGGCAATCTCGAAGCCTATAGTCGTACTCATACCACGGGTGGCCTTCCGATTGCTTCCACCCCCCTTGTTCTACTTTCAGTGAGTCGCCCCAGGGCTTGCCTTGCCTATTATGGCCACTGTCACGACTAAGCAACCATGTGGCCATCCACAGCGACAGCTTGGTGACCAACCAGACGACTTCAAAGAGGATTACCTCCCACCTGGCTGGCCGGACGATGAAGTGGCCAACCAAAGCGTGCTCGGATTGCTGAGGTCGCTTGTGAAGCACGAGCGTGGAAGTCTGCGTAATCTTGTATGTCCCTCCCTTTGCCAAGGGATGTTCAGCTACTTGAACTGACGCAAACGGTGCTCAGCTGTTGACTAATATCAAAGAGTTCAACCATCGGGCCATTGATGGCCCTGTCCCCAAACTTGGGGATTTGATACTGGTCGTGCGTGTTGTTACACAGAGTGTCTGTGCAGTGCTCCCAATCTGATGGACCCTTTGTTCCCAGATTGACCGAATCATGGGCTCGCGAGACCACCTTCGACCCGCCAACCAGATTTTAGGGGCGTACACCAGCACCATGAAGGTCAGATTAGCCTATATTCGACTTGAAGTGGTTCATCACTATCTCAACCCCGACCCGGCCACCAATTTGAGTCAGTGGGATATAATTGATCGTCGACTCGAATTCCTTCGAAGGCAGAGCCTCAATTACAAACAAGCGTCAGTCACGCTCCATAGTGAACCCATCCTTGTGTTCAGGTGTGACTTTTCTCGGCTGACCGATTTACCTCGCTCAGATATGCACGACTCATCATCAAAACTGATCGTGAGCTTTTTGGTGATTTTGAGTTCCGCGACATTCCAAGGGATGCAATTGTCCTCCCATCCGAAAGCCAAGTTCAACAAGAAATCGGGGCAGCCAACCATGTGGGGCCTGTCGGTAACGGAGCAAACGAGACCATGGTGGTGGATCAAGACGTCTTTATGTAACGTGTCCTGTTTGGTCTGACCACGGCCTCAGTGCACACAAAAACATCCATATTCCCTCTGTTATGTTCATCACTTGAAAGGGTCATGTGTCGCTCCCCTGAAAGATCTAAATTACCCACTCTTGACCACTCTGATTTTAACCCATAACCTACATTACCACGTTTTTATCATCTACCAATGCGACCATCAGGCAGAAGGTGGTAAATCCCTCTGATCCCCTAGTTTTTTAAATAGCCCATTGTTGAGCCAATTTGAATAGTTCATACTATGACCAAAAACTGAACCGTGTGCCGATTTGTCCTACATATTTACCACATACTCAAATGCTATCTAAACATGTTGACTAAATACAATTGTAGCTATCTAAACATGTCAATCTTTATGTGCCTTGCCTCTGTACGTTGATGCCTACGAAATCCCATTGTCTATCAGTAGCCTATTCATCCACACCCGGGAAGTGAGGCTTTTCATTGGAACACCATGCTAGCCAACTGGGTCAAATTCCCCTTGACGGTGGTTCGCACGAGGTGCAGACCACCCAGCCAGGGCAGTGCCCGGCCGAAGAGTACTACGCTCGCATGAAGGTCTTTTGACTGACCTTTCTCAGGTGACGAGCCGTCCGCCTGTTGGCCCACAAGTGAGCTACCTGTGAGTCATCACCAGGGCAGGAACTCTGTCATCGGGACGCAGGCCATGATCGGTGTCGTCCGCGCAAATTGGCGTCGGCGGCACCATGTCTTGGACTGATTTACTACGGTCGCCATATAAAGTTATGGCTTCCCGCAAGTGGTCCGCCACACCGGCAAAGGAGCGTGATGCAGGTTGGTGGGGGCAACGGGCCCGCTTCCATCCGGTAGGCCAAGCGCTGAGCACGCCAGCTGTGTGCCTAGGTGAGTGGACGGCTGGTTGTCTGTACACGTGCGCCCCGCAATTTCGTCGTCATCCTGTGCAGGGTCGAACAAAGTCCTGCCGACAGCAAATTGGGGTACTCGGGTCGTCCGACCCGGGCTGCCGTGTAACACCAGTCCCCCTACTCAAAGTCCCTCGTCAATTTGGAGGGTGGCCTTCAGGAATTACCCCGGGGCTCGGGACGGGGCAAGAGAGTCATCCCGAGGAACGAACCCCGGGAATTCCGGGTCTGCCCCGAAGCCCCGGGGCTGCTACAATTTTTTTTTTCTGGACCAATGATGGCACTACGGCCCAGCACTACCTACCTATCTCAACCAGAAGTGCTGTGTTGGGATTGGTTTTTGTTTTTTGGACTTTGATGGCCCATTTCAACCCTTTTTTTTCTTTTTCAATGAAGCCCACATGTGAAAAAAAAAAAACTGTTATACGCGCCAAAACAAGGAAAAATCAGGGAAAATCCCTATAAACAGTAAACCCCGGGGTTTTGGGGTTTGGCAGATACCCATCCCAAGTCCCGATAACCGGGGTTTGGTCCCGGGGCAGCCCCAAAATCCCGGCCATTGGGGTAACCGGTAATCCCTTAGGTGGCCTTGGCTGGGGTGGAACAGCTTCCAAAGGAGGCACTTGTATGTAGGCATGAGCGTGCCATTTTGGCCACAAATAATCCATTTTGAAATTTGAATTTTAATGCAGCATACAGGAGCCAACTTGGCCAATACAGTGATACAGGTAATACAGGTAATCCACACCTGCATGCCCACCAGCAATACTCCAGTATGTTTCATCCAACCCCCCCACACCCATACCATAGTTCTGTGTAAAGCTATCCACCCATACCAATGCCATACAACCAACAAAATAACCATCCCAGCAACATTACATCCAATCCACCTATTGTACCTCTCCAACACTATGTGTATCACTCTTCAGAATTTTGGCCACAAGTTCCAAAGCATTGTTACCAAATTAGTTCATGCTGGTTGTAATGATAATGATAACAAAATCAGACAATCCCTCCAGGAAAACCACTCAATTATTGTTTCCCAACGCACACTAACCCAATGAAAAGAAGACTGGGGCTTGATCCTGCATGCCTCTCAGCAAATGGCCGACACTGAAGAGCACATCAAGAAGTATTTCAACCAAGGCTTGACCTACTTGCAAATCCATCATGCACTAACTACTTCTCACAACTATACTCACTCCAAGCGTACCAAGAGTCAGGGACTCTGGTGACCTCTGGTCCGTGGGTTTCCAACCAACTTCAGGATCCCCGCAAGTCGCCGCTTGGAAATCTTTCTTTGATTGGTCATCAATACGAGACTACGACTCACAAACAATCTTCGAAGGACGCTTAGCCTTCAATCACATCCTCGTAGGCTTGTAGGCTTGTACGCCATTGGAATTCCATCGACCTCAGGAATCAGGATCATACAATTGAATAAAATAAAATACATAATAAGTTACCAAAAATTGTTTTTTTTATATATCTATTGCTTAGAAATGTAAATATGCTCTAAAAACCTGCTCCAAGCCTGACCTGGAAAGTGACCCGCAACCCAACCCAACCCAACCCTGACCCGCCTGCTCCCCTAGGTGGGTCGGGCTCGGGCAGCAATATTGACTGTATGACCCGACCCAACCCAACCCAACACTTTGGCCGGGTTGGGTCTGGGCACTGTTTTTCGACCCGAACCCGACCCAGTTTCATCCTGACTTGGATACTGCACAAGTGACCATTGAGGCCATTGTATCATGTGTAATGCATCTCCACCTGACTCCAGAGGGAAGGAATGTTGGCTACCAACGTATGTGACAGCTGCTCCAGACAAAGTTTGGCATCACCCTCCACTAGTAAGTTTCCAAACTGTCTGAATAGTCTTGATGTAACACGAATTTGTTCATTTCTTCATCAATTTTGCAATTTTCCACACCTTAGCATCACAGTTGCACTCATCAACCGTGATTTGTACACTGGACCTTGATGGTGTGGAAAATTGAGCCAAGAGGGTACTCCAGCAAAGGGTCTTCAAAACACCAGGGCCCAACTACATATGGTCAGCAGACGGTCACAACAAGTTGAAAAAATTTGGAATTACTTTATACAGGTTCATCAATGCCTGGAGCCGCAAGTTCCACACAAAGAGGGTCACATCACTCTGTGAAAGCAAGGTAACATTGCATGTCACATGCAATGTTACCTTGCATTCACAGAATGTGATGTAACCCCTTTTGTAGTGATACTTGGTATTTATGTCCACATCACCAACAACAATCTCCTCCACATTGGTTATTACTATCTTCAGCTGGTCAAAGAAACAGGAGGAATTCCTTGACGTTGTAGAACTACTCTTTGGGATGAATAGAGCTGGAGAGGGAAAGATGCTTTAATGGGCTGCCTCTCTGGTAACTGGGTTCAGTAAGATAACAAGAAAAGATAAGAGTATGGACTCTGAAGGAAAGGTGTGGCTTTGGAGAATTCTTGAGATGGGTATGTCTTCTGTCTTCTGGTCTTCTGTCTGAATAATACTAGTATCCCAAATGTTGATGGGCAACTACTAGGCTAATGAAGGGTGATCAGTTATCTGGATTGCTGGGGCAGGATCTGATGGGGAACAAATGAAGAGGGGAAAACAAGGCTCCTTATATACAAAATCTGGGGAGTGGCCAGCTTGTGGTTGGAAACACCATAGAACAAAATGGAACAAGAGAAAATTATCAAACTGAAACAATGTGGCCCAATTGGTAGGCACTAAGATAAATGGGGAAAATGACATCAGAGGCATGCAGGGATGAAATGTGCCACAACCAATGAGGGAGGAAGAATATACCAAAGAGATGAATGAACTAGCCAAATGTGTACTAGTGTGAGACATGCAGATAACCCAAGAGGAATAGTGTGAAACAGTGAAATGTGGCCCAAAGTGGAAATGAGGCTAGAGTGAAAGTGGAATAGAATGAAACATATGCAGTGCCCAAGTGTGGAAGGCTGAATGGGGATTGTTGATGTAAGACTGCATGAGATGATTATGTAATAAAGAAATTAAATGGAAATCCAGAGTGTCTTCTGTCCTGGGGGCTTGGTCTTGTGACATCCATGGTGTTGCAGGTTGGCTGAATAATCCAGAAGGGGCTTGTCTTGATCCTTGAGGGCCCTGTAATTCAGAGGGCTTGATTATGTGCTTGAAGCTTTGATTTTGTGGGCCTCTTATTCAAGATTGGCTTACCACAACGTACATCTACTGATAAAGGGACCAAGACAATTCACCTGGTTGGCCATCAGATCAACCTCACTCAGCAATACAATAAAGAATGTATTGACCCAACTCAATCCCATCTCTTCACCAAAAGCACACATGACCAGAAAATTGAGTGCCTGTGGTCCCAGCTTATGAAGCAGTACAACCGTGAGCTGATTAAAAAATTGTTTACGGCTATTGAAGAAAGTTTTTATGACCCCTAAGACCCTCTTGAGCAGTGAGTAAAACATCTACATCAGAACCGCTTGGAAATAGACATGGCAAATTCTGATGATTTCTGGAACTTTTCAGACTACTATTTATTTATCTGTGGGTACCACTTGTTCAAAGAAGCCTGGGCAATTGGATGAATAATTACAACACATACAAACGGCACCTTGACAAAAAGAGTAGCCTGCCCACACTCTGCAGTGCCAACTGGTGCTTCAACTACCCCAAAGAGCAAGGAGGGGAACAGGGACTGATTAAAGTGCCCGGTGAGGCTGCTGATGCGTTAGAGAAGGAGTTTTACCCGGAAGGCAATGAACTACTTTGAACCACACAAAAATGGTTCTCTGACATTATTTCTGACCTTCAAGCTGCATTTGATCTAGCAATCCCGATTGTAACTGTTCACAATGTTTGGAAGGGTTTTACAGTTTTAAACAAAACCATCCAAGCATATGATACTGCTTGGCTTTCTGATCCCTGCAACAACCCCTTGCTTTCAATAGCGGCTCGCTGTCTAGAAACTGAGCTCAATTAATTGTAGTTTTGATTACTCTTTCCGTGATCAACAGACTTGCCTGCATGTGTGAATTCATCTCTTCAAACTTCTGGATATTTGTGGGTGGTAGATGATGGTTTTTCCTTATAATAAATACAACATACCTTGGGTTCTTTTGATTATTGAATGCACTCGGTCATCTCTTTGTGGCAATCATTATGATCTAAGTGGAACACCTTCATGTTTCTGTGACAGCTCGTGTGAAACCTCTGATATGAGATGCTTCAGTCGCTATGTAGCTCAGCTGCCTCCTTACAATCTTGTCCTCTTTATTCAGGTGACCAAGCAATCAAGAGTACACAGGTATGTAAGTTAATTTACAAACACTCTGATGTCTTTTCTTTCACCTTGCTCGGCCATCTGATTGGAGCTTGTAAAATTACTGACCCTTCAGGCTCCCCAACTTCCCTGTGCTGTCATATCAAACAATCAAGACCACACAGCTGCAAACCGTTTGGAACCTTCATAATTCCTAGTGTGAGCCTGGGTCTCTATAGTGACAGCAGGACACAAGATATGGGGGGCACTTTTATATGTATTTCTTATAAGAAGAGGGATACAAATAAAAGTAAGAGAAAGAGAAGAAGAGAAAAGAAGGAATTGAAGTATATTTTTGTTCTTTATTTATTTTATGATGATGATGAAAGTTCTGGCAGTCTTACTGTCCCTTTGTGGATGGCTGCGGACACTGGACAGTCTTACTTTCCTTTCAGGATAGCTGTTATAAGTGGAGCTAACTCTCACGCCTTCAAATCAACAGAAACTGAAATGGGTTATTGACACTGATGAATCAGGTCAACCACAATCTTTTAGATCAAATATCAAGGCTCTTTGAAGGGAAACCCATGTAGTTTTCAGTTGTACTACCAAACAGGAAGAATTGAGATAGTAGAAGCTAGAGCTTGCTTTTTTTGATCAGGGCTTTGGTTTGATGAGGAATGAAGAGAAGCTGAGAGAGACAGAGAGGAGAAACAAGCAGAAAGATGCTAGCTTAACTTATGAGAAGTGACTTACTAATGATACCAATGACGGAATCCAAAAGCTCAGAGAGGATTTTCAAAGTTGGATTACGTAATGATTACATGTACAGTGCCCTCCCAGATTTATATAGCCAATTTGTTTGGATTACATAACCCTAACCCACCAACTTGCAATCATGAGACTTGAGCAAGTGGTATAAAAGAGGTTTCAAAAAATGATTCTGAAAACAAAAGAATGAAAAACCAATTTTCAAAGTTTTTAAAAAATATTAC